GCACTTTTTCTGGACAATTGAGAAGAGAAGGTCAGAGACAGGCAAGAAAATAGTCAAATAGAAAACAAGAAAACAAAAACAAAGTACTTGAAAATGAAAATGTAGGTAGATTTATCCTACTACACATTTTAAACACATAAAGCAATAAGTTATAAGCTTGTAATATGTATATTTATGTGTGATACAATTCAGATCGCCATCAAAACTCTGTCCCACACCCAGGGCCGTTTCAAGGTGTTTTGGGGGCCAAGGCAAAATAGAACACCCCCACCCCCCTGTAATTCACAGTCAAAAATAGGGCTACGTAAAGGGTACATTGTTGTGCTCCAAGGGACAAAAAGGATATTAATTCAATCTGAGGACTAATATTGGATCTCAGGGTATCTATCTGTTCCTTTTTCGTTGTATGAAAGGTACATATAAGTTCCTTAGTAAAAAAAAATACACATTTGTAGCATTTTTTTTCAAAAGGTACAATTTCTGGATATGATCTCTCTCACTAAAAACCAACCTGCAAATAGATTTCATAGTTTCCCTGTTTATCATTTTGTAAGCACTGAAAGATCATTGTAAACGTGTTTGTTCAATGAAAAAAAAACCCAATAATGAATTTCAATGATGTGTTAACTAATTATTTTTGAAAAGAGACTGTGTGGCTGAATGTTCTTTTGGAAGCATAGATGTTGGGATAAGAAATGTTATTCTAATAGCATTTGATAGCTTTGACACAAACAGTGGAGAAGTTTGTAACAGGTCGGTATCGTATTTATTTATTTATTTATTAATCTTTTATTTCATTCACAATGTATAAAATAAACACAAACAAATACAGGATACATTAACATATTGAAAAAAAACATTTGAATGAAAAGGAGCAGATAGAAGAAAAAATCTTATGATTTCTGCCCCTTTTTACGAAATAAAATTATCCGCCAAACAAACACAGTATAACCTCAGTCACTTTCTAATATTTTCATGTCTAATCTTTGACATTATAATTCACCTTTTCATAATTACTAAATACATTAGATTTTATGCATTTTTTAAATATAGCAAGTGTAGTTGATTCTTTAAATTCCTTGTTATTTGAAAAGTAAATAATTGTAGCAAGTGTTTCTTAATTTTTACAGGGTCTGATATTTTATGATCTTGAAATAAAGACACACACACACACACACACGTGAATGTTTGAACGCACTTCTGTGGTCCTTTTTTTGTACTTTAATTAAGGGTACAAATTTGCTTTCTACGGTACAGGTTTGACACATAAAAAGGTACAAACTCCAAGGGTACAAATTTGAACCCACAGTTGATGGTACAAAATGGTACCTTTGAGGGCACCACCCCAGTGACAAGACATTGTACCCCAATAGGTACAATTCTGTACTTTAATTTCTGAGTGTGTTGGGCTCCCCCACAAGCCTCTGTAGTCCACACCCAGTTCAGGAGTTTTAATTATACAGTGTTTGGAAAAACACCGTGGACATTACTGACTTCTTCTAAAATTGTCTGACGAAAAACAAACGCTGTTGGACGTGCTGTCTCGCCTGCTTCTTTTCTAAACTTGCAAAAATCTGTCTGTAACAAAACCTTTCAAAAGCCACTATCTTGGGATTCTCTGAAAGTTTCCACGAAGTTCGTGCCAGACTTTTTTTCTTTATTGATCCGATTGTTTCATCTCACAGCTGACACAATGCATTCTTATTGATCTGTGCACAGGAAGCTTTAACGACGCTGCAGTAAAACATCAGGTACGATAGTTTCTTAGTAACATAACATTATTTCAACAATTATATTTTGCAATAAATATGCAAAAAAATGTACTTATTGTCTTTAGAGCCATTCTGTTGACAGAATCTCGTTTCATTTTAGCTCTAAGCCAGGTGTTCTGACAGAATACCTGGCGGAAAAAATGGGTCCCAACGTGGTTTGTGTGGTGTTGCCATAGTGTGACATCATTGGTAGGCACAAATCCCCTGTCCTCTTTTTTTATTAAATTGAAATATGGTCACCTCATCTCAGAGTACAGTGTGCAGCCCTTTGGTTCAGGCCTCACTTAACTCCTAATTGTGTGGAGTGCACTAAGCAGGTTTGGTCTACCTGACCTTTGTGGGTCAGCCTGTAAACACTCATTAGCATAACAGTCTGTCTGCAGCGAGGCAGGTGGACCAACCCACGCTGAATGAGCTCTCCTGGTCCGACTGGGGTTGATAGAAGCTGAGTATGATTTAAAGTGAGTCGTCCCTCCAGGAGAATCCAGTCACCCAGCTTCCTGTGTGTTTGCTAATGCTAACCCACGCTAAATCTAAGATTCATGCCTGCCCTGAGATAAGGGAGGTCCAAAAAGTTCCTAGCTCTGGCGCAGACGAGCTAATGTTTTTGTTTTTTTCTGTTGTTTCTGGTTCTGAGTTGGTAATAGAATATAAACGTCCACTCCTCCAGGAAACTAGAAAAAGACTACCAAATAGATTGGGTCCTAACGCTGCTGAGCCTCAGTCAGAACTTCAGATGTTCTGGTGTGTGCAGGGTTCTGTTCAGATGGGAGCCTGAGGAACCAACTCCTGCACGAAATCAAATCATCTAAGTGGGACTGAAGCAGAATGGGATCTTCTGGTGTTTTCCATGACCTGTGCTGTTTTTGGAGAAACATCTGATCTGATCTGAGAGCTGTTGTTTCAGACTGGACCTCTAAGGCGGGCCCAGACTCCAGCTACGCCAACACTAATCCTCTGAGTGTGTGGTTGCAGGAGAAGGATTCTGGTCCAAATCCTCGTTCATACCTGAACACTCACTCATCCGTCTAAGCTTCTAATTACAGCAGCCCTGCGTTCCTGTGGTGGGAAGCTTCTGACATCACTCACCTCTGCGAGGATGAAGCAACACACCTGGATCCAGTACAAACCTGGTATTGAGTGTACATAGATGTGTTCTGTTTCCTCCCTCTGACAGGTTGGCAGGAGGAGGACAGACACAAAACAGACAGGCTCGGAACGTTCCGTCACTCGTTTCTTCAGGATGTTCATTATAGAAACCCATCAACCTGGCAGAGGTGGCCCTCACTGGCATGGCCGGGGGAGGAAGGGTGGGGGGTGGGGGATCCCCCTCTGGAAAATTGTTGGCAACCCCATTGGTCCCTGCAGGGAAGACCACCCTTCCATCTCCTTTATATTTGACATTAATGTTCATACAAACCATTCACTACCCTTATTTATTCAAGACATCAATGTTAAAGCCAATAAATAGTTATTTTAAGAATTATTTAATTATTTATTTGATAAATTACTATTTAAATACAAATGTGTCACTGAGGCCATTTTTAAAAAACTGATAGATCCCAATAGTTAAGACAGTGACTGGCAAATGTTTGAACTGTTTCAGAGTTTTGAAACAATGCCGACCAATTAGGGGGGCCACCCTAAAATCTTCATGGGGGCCCCCAAGAAAATTTTCTGGGGGCACCACTGTGAACTGGACACCCAATTTTCATTTCAATTCCAACTTCCTTAACTATCCTGATAAAGTTCAAAGGTGTAAAATGTGTTTTGTTGTGGTGTGTTTTGGATAATTGCTGTTACAACAGTTTGTTAGGGATTATGGAGTGGTTTGGTTAATCCAGTAGGAGATGCTGCAACGTTCCTGCTGGTACTCATCTGAACATATCTGTTATTATTCCGTCATCCATCCATTTTTGGCTGTTTATCCGGGGTCTGGTCACTGGGGCAGCAGCCTAAGCAAGGAGGCCCAGACTTCCCTCTCACCAGCCACTTGGGCCAGCTCATCAGGGGGAATCCCAAGATGTTCCCTGGCCAGTCGAGATACATGGTCCCTCCAGCATGCCCAGGGTCTTCCTTCAGGTCTCCTCCTGGTGAAGGAGCAGCAGGTCTACTCTGAGACCAACCCAGATGACCAAGCTTCTCACCCTATCTCTAAGGGAGAGCCCAGCCACCCTACGGAGAAAACTCTTTTCGGCCGCTTGTATCCGCAATCTCGTTCTTTTGGTCACTACCCAAAGCTCATGACCATAAGGGAGGGTAGGAATGTAGATCGACCGGTAAATCGAGAGCTTTGCTTTCCAGCTCAGCTCTCTTATCACCATGCCAGATTGGTACAACTCCCGCATCACTGCAGATGCAGCACCAATCCGCCTGCTCTATTTTTTCCTCACTGGTGAACAAGACCCCAAGATACGTTAACTCCACTTGAGGCAGGACCTCATCCCTGACCTGGAGAAGGCATTCTACCCTTTTCTGACCTGTCGTTGTTGTTATAATAATAATAATTATAATAATTATCGTCGTTGTCGTCTTCCTCCGTTTATCCGGGTCCGGGTCGCGGGGGCAGCATCCCAACTAGGAAGCTCCAGACCGTCTTCTCCCCGGCCACCTCCACCAGTTCCTCCGGGAGGACCCCAAGGCGTTCCCGGACCAGATTGGAGATGTAACCTCTCCAACGTGTCCTGGGTCGACCCGGGGGCCTCCTGCCGGCAGGACATGCCCGAAACACTTCCCCAGGGAGGCGTCCAGGAGGCATCCTGACCAGATGCCCAAACCACCTCAACTGACTCCTTTCGATCCGGAGGAGCAGCGGTTCTACTCCGAGTCCCTCCCGAATGTCCGAGCTCATCACCCCATCTATAAGGCTGAGCCCGGCCACCCTACGGAGGAAACTCATTTTGGCCGCTTGTATCCGCGATCTCGTTCTTTCGGTCATTACCCAAAGCTCATGACCATAGGTGAGGATTGGAACGTAGATCGACCGGTAAATCGGCTATAATAATAATAATAATTATTATTATTATTATTATTAATTAAACTTTATTTACCCATATCCAGGGTTAGCTTGTAGAATAATATCCTGCTTTTATATCTGTAATTGAAAAACTATTTTACATACAAATTTTCACATAAGAAGTTAAAACAGGTGATAAAAACTGGGGAAAAACACACTTTAAAAGATCGAGAGAAACGTATGAAATCTAAATCATCTGAACATTTCAACACTGATTTGAAGAAATATACTTTATTTGACCCGATCCAATTTATTCCTACAACACATTTAAAACACGTGTTTCTTAAAGTTGTTTAATGTAAAATATTAAAGAAATCAGAAAATAATTTAAACTTCATGTGAATAAATCAAATGGAACCAGCTCAACGTCCTGACTGATAAACATGCAACACACAACTGTTTCTGATTGAATTTAATAAACTTAAGTTTCTTCATAGACAACCTCAAAAGTCAGACTCGTGTTTGAGTTGGAGTCAGACACAACAAGCCCTTAAAAGCCTCATTAGGACATTTCTTTTCCAACAGTTGCAAACAAATATTGTGGTCTGAGGCCGCTCTTTGGTCAAACATCCCAACAGAGTCCACCTGGGTTCTACAAAAATAATTCTATCATCACACAGTGCAAATAATCCAATTAATGCTCAGTCTGGGGAGGAGTCGAGAGGGCCAGGGTCGGGGGTCAGGTATGAAGACCTGAAGGATAGCAAGTCGCTCAAAGTGTCTGAGGCTTTGAAGTTTGTGTTAAAGTGTGTTAATGTGCTGCAGTGGGACTCCACAGGGACCCAGTCATTAAGAACCTGGTTCAGGATCCACATGTGGGTCAGCATTAGCCCCGGGTCGCCTCACTCACAGGGGAGACCGGTCTCAGAAAACACAACAAGTCATCTGATGACTCGAGTCTTCCACCAGAAGAAGAAGAAGAAAAAGAAAAGATCTTTTCTATAGCGCCTCTCAAGATAAAAATCACGAGGCGCACCAGGTCTCCAGGTTTCTGTTAGGATATTAAAATCACTGTTTCCTTTGATTGTACTTGATTTTCCCTCTTTGTTTGTGTTTTAAGGTATGTGATGTTTGTTTTATTTTTCATCCAGTAAAATCTTGCAAAACTTCTGTCCAAGAACACAAGCAAGCAGGTCATTCTCATAACGACCTCCCGCCTGAATCTGAACCTGACCTCTACTGACCCCTCTCACCTTCTGGGTCCAGGTGATAGTCTGTCCTGCTTCTAGGCAACACATGGGTCAGACTCTACATTGCATAGCTGATGTTTTCTTTTCTAAGGACTGAGGGACACAAGGAGGAACCACTAACGGCTTTGGAAGGCTTTTTGGGAGGAAGGTCTTTGCCTATAAATAAAAACCAGATATCAGCTTCTGGTTGTTTTATACCTTCTGACGTTCCGTCTGTCAGCAGAAGGAACCATTTGGGACCAGAAGGTGGTTATGAGTTCTCATCCTTTTAGTGGTTTGGACCAAACCGTCCTTAGATTCAAGTCTTCTCCTGAAATCGCCCTGATGTTTCGCAGCAGCTGAATAACAATAAAACATAAAGCTGTTTAGATAAACCCACGTCTGTGAGTTGAGCTTCAAATAGAGACCTCTAGACTAGAGTTGGACATGTTCTTCCTCCAGGACCAGGATCTGGATCGGGTCTTTCTTTAGAGGAAGTTGGACTTGTGGTGGAGCAGTCAGAATGAAGTGCTGAATGTCGACAGAGCTCTAAAAGGATCAAAGTTTCTGCTCAGTAACAGATCAACCGGCCTTCTCTCCATCTCAGAGATGGAGACTAGGAGATGATTGTTTTCCAACTGGAAAAGGTTCCCGTCTGTCTGGACAGAAAACACGATAAATATATTTACACGCCTCTTCCCGTGAGGATGAGGAGGATGTGCTAGTTTCTCCATAAATATTCTGTTTCATATCCATGTAGAGATTCAGAACCGGAGACTCAGGCGCAGCCACACTCGTCCACGATCATGTTGGGAACATCTCGTTTCACAATGTTGTACTCATCATCAAAGTAGAGCATAGACATCATGCTGAGCTTGGTGGGGATGCAGCAAGAGTTCATGGACCCAGGACTCATGCCCCGCATTCGGTACTGGTTCACCACCGCCGTGTGGAAGGAAGATGCAGAACCGGGAACGCCGGCCATGTAGGCCGGGCAGCTCCCCTCACAATAGTTCCCGAAGTACCCAGATGGTGCGATGATCCAGTCATTCCAGCCAATGAGCCGGAAGTCGATATAAAACCGCTGACGACAGCACAGATCGTTACTGCCATCACACTCCAGCCCTCGCTTCCGGATCCGGTGCTGACCTTCGGCCTGCCTGGCCCGCACCACCAGGAAGGGCCGGTGGGATTCATCGCTCAGGTCCAGCAGAACCGGCACCACTCCCTCAGTCTCGCAGCCCTCGCAGCGTATGTCCAGATTCTGTCGCCTATCGGTGCCGGTCTCAAATGCCAAACGGACAGCGCTGGTGAGGGTGAAGGTATGCCAGCCGCTGCGTCTCAGCTCCACCCGCTTCTCCACTAGGTCCCATTTGCTGCCAAAGCCTGGTTCCTGGTAGTAAACTTTTACCATCACCTTCCTCCGTCCACGCGGCTCCACAATAGGCAGCAGCAGCTTGAAGTACAGCCAGAGGGTGGCCCGGGTCACCTGGAGGTTCTGGTTCCCCTCGTTGGAGATCAGGAAGAAGAGGCTGGATTTGGACATGACGAGGTCATCTGAGGAGCAGAACCAAAATTCATCACAGGTTGACTCAAAAACCACATGGAAGGTTTCTAAGGAAATAAAGACAAGTTCAGATGGTGAGATGTCTCACATCCATGAGTCAAACTGATCAGAACCCCAACCGGACCCTCCCACCAAAGCACCCCAAATGTACTGGGACCCCATCCACCGACCCAACAAAAGACACCTTCTGTTTGTAAACAAAGTTTATATTTTCGGGTGACTGTCCGATGGAGCAGCTACTCCCTCCTGCTGGCAGATACCGGTATTACCAGAGTAACCTTATGAGACCTGAGTCGGTGGTAGGATCACCTGTTCAGCAGATCATCAAGCTCTGCAGAAACCTGATAATCACACACACACACACACACACACACACACACACACACACACACACACACACACACACACACACACACATCTATGCCTCTCCACACCCCTAGGCTTCCTCAGACCTCTTGAGCATGAAGGTCTGCAGATAGAATAGCTGCTGAGATCTTCTGGGCAGATGCTTACCTGAAGGCACCTAAATTGCTTCACTAGGGTCTCATGGAGGTGGTCCCCATCAGTATACAGGCGAAAGGTGGGAGACTCTGGTCTATCACAGGGACACTCGGGGACACATACTCACTCACAGACAGGGAAGATACTTTAGAGTTTCCTTGCATGACCTGCTGACCTTTTGGTCTCTGGGAGGAAATTTGAGGAAACCCCACTCATGCATGGAGAGAACATGTTAACTCCATGCAAAAAAAGCTGCAGCTGGGATTCGAACCTGTGACCTTCTTGCTGTGAGGCAACAGTGCTGCTATGCACCACATCCCTGGGTCACCCAGGACCAGAGCAGCATCAGGTGCTGGACTAGACCTCTCGTGTGTTTAGAGCTGAGGTCACATCTTTAATCCTCTTTGTCTCAGACACAACAAACACATCAGGTTTATGCTTCCGCTCTCTGATCAGTGGTTCGGCTCCAGAACCTCTTAATGGACACGAGCTCACCTTTTTCGGCGAAGCTTATGATCTCCGAACTCTCCTCCAGAACCTCGTTGCTCATTGGATGTCCGTCCAAGTTCGGAATTTCCACCCGGCCGTCCTCGCGCAGCTTCCCCGCGTGCAGCTTTCGCAGCGCCGTAACCATAGCAGCCTTCGGAACCGGGTGCGTGATGTTGGGCCGGTCCCGCAGCTGCAGCCGGCTCAGGATGTGCCTCTTCACAGCCTCCAGGAAGTCTCCGTCCATGCGTCCGGACTCGGGGTCCTCTGGCTGGGCGGCGCAGGACGCGCAGGTGTCCCGCAGCTCCTGGTGCGCCTCTGCGTCGTTCACGGCGGCGCAGCGACTGGAGAGGACGCACGCGACAAGAACACCCAGTCGGAGGATCCGGAGGGTCATTTTCTGTCCCAGAGCAGCGAATCAGAACTTCTTCTCTGGTTAGAAGAGTCTGAATCCTAAAAGTGATCAGTCTGATCCAAGAATCCCCTCAGACCCGACCGGTACCATGCGTCAGGCGCTCAGATGCAACTTGTCTGAAAGATCCTTCTGTTTCTGAAGTGACTTATTACATCATTAGATCTTCATCATTCTGACACAGAGTACAGTTTGAGTCAGATCTTCATCAGCCAGATCCAACCTCTAAATGTTCCGTTAACATATCCAAAACAATCGCAAGAAGCAGAGTCGCAGCCTCCTGGAGCATTCTCATGGAACAGAACCAGAACCGAGCTCTTCACAAGGCCGCTGATGGAGGACGAACACGAGGAGGAAGAGGAGGAGGCGGAGGTGTGTCAGAGAAGCGCATAGTAGCAGCACCATCCCGGCGTGCATCAAAAGTACATGGCTTTACGCACTGATAATTGTTATATACGCGGGAAGGAGGGGTCTAAAGTAAGGAGGGCGGGGCCACGCCCTCGGGAGACGGATTGTAGAAAGTATGTTCACGTGAATTTATTATCAACAAGGGGGATTCATCCATTCACCATCTATGCACCCACTTGACCATCCATCTAACATTCATTCTTCTATCCCCCATCCACCTGTCCATCCATCAATTTACCCACCCAAAATCCATCCATCTAACACTGACCCATCCATCCATGCATCCAGCCACCCACTCATCCATCCATCCATCAATCTATATACCCACCAATCCATCCATCTAACATTGACCCATCCATCCATTCATCTATCCATCCATCTACCCACTCACTCATCCATCTAACATCCATCCATCATTCCATCCACTCATCTACCCATCCATTCATGCATCCATCTATCCACCCACCCACCCACCCATCCATCCAGCATCCATCCATCCACCCACTCATCCATCTAACGTCTGTCCTCCCATCCACTCATCCATCTATCCATCCACTCATCCATCTAACATCCATCCATCCTTCCATCCACTCATCTACCCATCCACCCACCCACCCATCAATCCACCCAGCATCCATCCATCCACCCACTCATCCATCCATCTAACATCTGTCCTCCCATCCACTCATCCATCCATCCATCCATACACTCATCCATCTAACATCCGTCCATCCTTCCATTCACTCATCCTTCATTAATCTACCAATTCACTCATCCACCCCTCCATCCATCCATCCATCCATCCATCCATCCATCCAACCACCCACCCATCCATTCACTCATCCATCTAACATCATCAATCCTTCCATTCACTCATCCATCCATTAATCTACCAATTCACTCATCCATCTAACATCCATCCACCCTTCCATCCATCTAACATCTGTCCTCCCATCCACTCATCCATCCTTCCATCCATACACTCATCCATCTAACATCCGTCCATCCTTCCATTCACTCATCCTTCATTAATCTACCAATTCACTCATCCACCCCTCCATCCATCCATCCATCCAACCACCCACCCATCCATTCACTCATCCATCTAACATCATCAATCCTTCCATTCACTCATCCATCCATTAATCTACCAATTCACTCATCCATCTAACATCCATCCACCCTTCCATCCATCCATCCATCCATCCATCCATCCATCCATCTAACCACCCATCCATCTAACATGCATCCATCCTTCCATCTACCCACTCATCCATCCATCCATCCAACACTTCATATTAAGTTTTAAACCACTAAAGTCCAGCTGGCTCTTATATGACACAGGTTTTTTTTCTTCCAGAAATCACCTTAAGCCTCTAAAACCACGGACCCGGTATTAATGATCTAAATGACCAATAATTAGTTTTGTTTCACCAGTTATTTGATTCGTTTTAGTTCATGTTGCATTTTTGCCAGCATTAATGGGTGTGCACCAACACACAGCACCTTTCTTTCTTTCATTCACATTTAGTCCTTCAGTATTTAACCCTATCACAAATCCACTGATAAAATCTGCTTTCTAAAACTCAACTAAACGTGTCTTCCTGTCAGCCAATTGTTGTTTTTGTACTGTAAATTAAAACAAACAATAAACAATAAAGACACACAGATGGAGGAAACTCTTTTTAAATCCAAACATCTAAACAAGTCTGCAGGCAAATGCTCCCCTCAGCCCTGTCCAATCAGAAGTCAGGACTCGTTTCCATATTTGCTAGTAAAAACTAAATCAGACCAGATGGCAGCGGAGGTGACCTCTGACCTCCGTGATTATCTAAACAACATGCAAACAGGTCGGGATGAGTTTGACAGTGAAGGTATTTGACAGCTGAGGCTGAGGCAGGAAGCAGACGGTGCTTCAGACGGGTCAAAGCGGTCAAACGCCGCCCCCTGCCGTCCACTGGATAAAACTACAAAGAGTGTTTTATTTATTTTTGTTTAGCGTTGCTATATTTTGTTTGATTGTTATTCTTTCTAAAACAATGCTCCTCTCACAATTTTAGTAATTTCTTTATTGAACTGATTTAATTTTCAGGTAATATTCTTTTACTTTATATAACTTGGACGTAGCCTGTTTCTTTGTGTCAATTGTTTACTGAAATGTTAAAGCTGTAAATCTTTGACACAGCGTTTTGTCTAGCTTTGCTAACTGAAAGTTAACCTGTTGTGTTGTTTTCTCCTATTTTGTAATTGATATGTTTTAATTTCTTATCCTCGGAGCTTCTGAAATGTAAGTGTCACACAGCTCTTGCAGCAAAAGGAATATAAAGATGACACAAAAATAGTACTACATAGCAATCAAACAAACACAATTTGTATGTACAGAAAATGTATAAAATATGATCTGTATTAAATTATGAATACATGTAAACATATAAATACTTTTTATCTAAAAGCCCTATTTAGAATAAAATAAGTAAAAATAATTAATATCCTAATTAATATACGTATAAAGTATTTTTTCTAAACCAGATATAAAACAAAAGGAATTTCGTGTCGTCACTTCCTGTTATATGCCTCCTTGTAGATGTAAAAACGTATGACGTCCCACTCCGTTTCCATTTTTTATCATTTTAAGTCTTTTAGCGGAACAGTTAATCTATTAACGTGACGTTCTGACATCAAACAGCGGATAGTTTATAAGTTGTTCTTTCTGCTCCGTTTCTGACCAGCTGGCTGTGGCGGGAACCACCGGGAAAACCGAGTCTGTAAACCAGCCTCTCCGGGTTCTGAGGTGCATCTTCGCGGGGATAGACGATCCTTAGGTCCGGGAGAAGGTGGGGCGCTCGGTTTAATGACCAACTTGTAAAAGTTTTCTGAGGCTGATTTGTGTGGGAGCGACGGGAGAACGCGTGACCAGGTTAGTCAAGTGATTTTATCCGGGTGGTGGTAGCAGCGTTTACCGCCTCCGCCTCCATCAGGAGCTTTTTACTGCCGTTTTCACTGAACTCCCCCAGGGAGCCTTATCTCTCCACTTCACTGCTTAGCTAACAGTGGCGTGAGCGACGCGCGGAACAGCCAATAGCATCCTCCCTTGGGCAGTTCCGGCTGCCGCTCAGCCAATCAGAGTCGTTGGTGAGAGATGAGGCGGGAACGTGGAAGAGCAGAAGTGAGTTTAGAGTTGGAACTGGTTTCCAGCTGTCAGCTGGTTGTGTCAGAGAGGAAGTGGAGTGTCGCCAGACCAGCTGCTAGTTCCTGATCCGGGTCTGTGCTGGGCTACCTGTTGAGCTCCGAGCTGACCCAGACAGACCCACTACATTCTAAAGGTCGAGTGGGTCACTTCCCAGCAGCACCAGCACTCTGCGATAAGAGCTGAGTGGACCAGATCTGACACCTGGACTGGCCTGGAACCAGGAAACAGACCTTCCTCTGGATCCAGATCTCCCAGGACTGTCAGTGGGTCCAGTGGGGCTGGGTCAGCCTCAGAAGAGGGTCTTTAAACATTACTTTGTGCTCCAGGGTCCTGAAGCAGGCTGTGGGTCATGGTGGTTTTATTAAGCTGGGCTTGGTTCTGATGGTGTCTGGGTGGTACCAGCTCCTCCCAGGGTTCATTAATCTGCTCTGGATGTGTTTCATCTGCAGGATTCAGGACTGTTGGCTTCCTGTCTGGGATCATTATTTTCCTCCTCCAGAACCAGAACTTTCCCACCAGCAGCATCCAGAACCAGAACTGGGTTTTTCCAGTCAGGTAAAGGCTGATATATACTTTAGAGAGTACCAGGTCAAATCAAAACCTTCTCCCTGTCCCTGACCTCTTGTTTTGTTTTGTCTGATCTTTGCCATCTCTCTCATCTGGGCCCAGTGGTCCCACCAGAACCTTTTGGACCTGTGGAGGAGCTGTGATTCACTGGACTGACCCAGACCAGAGACATGTCCTCTGGTAAGACCAAGAGCCAGACTTCGCTGGTCCTCCATAAGGTGATCATGGTGGGCAGCGGTGGGGTGGGGAAGTCTGCTCTGACCCTCCAGTTCATGTATGATGAGGTGAGTCCATCTGGACCACATTTCCCACGATCCTCTCTGCCTCTGTCACACACAGTCCTCCTCTGTGTGTGTGTGTGTGTGCGTGCGTGTGTGTACAGTTTGTAGAGGATTACGAGCCCACAAAAGCCGACAGCTACAGGAAGAAGGTGGTCCTGGATGGGGAGGATGTCCAGATCGACATCTTGGACACGGCGGGACAGGAGGATTACGCCGCCATCAGAGACAACTACTTCCGCAGTGGGGAGGGCTTCCTGCTGGTCTTCTCCATCACAGAGCACGAGTCCTTCACGGCCACGTCTGAGTTCAGGTTCCCGATTCACCTCTAAATCGTCAGCGCCTTTGACCTGACAGAAACGGAATCCGAGTTCGGGTCGCGGTCCAAGCCAAACCCAAGTTGGCCTGAAGGTTTTTCCTGATTTTTTTTTTTTTTTTTTAGGGAGCAGATCCTGCGGGTCAAGGAAGAGGAGAGGATCCCTCTGCTCCTGGTGGGGAACAAGTCAGACCTGGAGGACCGGAGGCAGGTCTCCGGGGAGGAGGCCACCACTAAGGCCTCTGAGTGGGGGATCCAGTACGTGGAGACATCAGCTAAGACCAGAGCCAACGTGGACAAGGTGAGTCTGGGACCAGGATTCTTTAGGGTAAGATTCCTGGACCAGGACCCGGGTCTAACAGCAGGCGTGGTCTCGGTCCTGCAGGTTTTCTTTGACTTGATGAGGGAGGTCCGGAAAAAGAAGATGTCTGAGAGCAAAGACGAGAACGGGCCGAGTGCCAAGAAGAAGAAGCGCTGCTACATTCTGTAGGCAGGACCAACTGTGGGTGGGGCCAAAGGGGCCCAGGTGAACCAAAGACAGACTGAAACGGACCTCTTGTCCAGCGGTAGCTGGTACTCAACACTCTTCCTCTGCACACACTTCCACTTCCTGTTCCCAGACTCTACTTCCTGTTTAGTCCTAGGAGGCCTCCTCTATATTTATCTTCCCCTCCTTCCCGATGTCTCCGTCTTCACGAGTTGAAAGGGAATTATTTTATAATCACACGCATCAGTCCTGATCCTGTGACCTCCGACTGGGTCCAGCAGGAACACAAAAACCATCAGGTTTACAAAATAAAAGCACACTGATTCCACTTTATAGGCATCTCTGTAGGAAATAAATGTCACTAAAATAAAGGAAATGAATGCACAAACAAATTAGTTTCTGGGTCTTCTGAAGAGTAAATTCGGACAGAAATGTAACTTTTACTTGTTTCAGTTCAAGTTTTGTTGGAAAAGCTGTTTTAACGTTCAGGAAACAGCAGAGAACGTCCGGACTAGTAGAAGCTAACCGTTAGCATTAGCGACTCTACCACACAACAGATTTCTTGTGTTGTGTTTTTTGTGGAGATAAAACATCAACATTGCAAACAGTCAGTGGTAGTTGTTTAGGGCAGCCACAAACTACTATTTTAGTAGTTGACTAATCAAGTTATCCCCCAGGATGCTCCAATATACCATCATTAGCTTCTAGTCCTTAAGTGTGATCAGCTATGTGCCGTCTAATAATAAAAACATGATGATAGCTTATAAAATAACTTGTAATTAACTTTGTAACCTGTTAATACGAATGCTACAGTTATATAGAGGTAGGCACCTAAAACCAAAGAGTAACTGTACACATAAATGGCTTGTGAAGGTTGAAGCGCTTCTTCTTCCAGTCTTAACTCAGGAAATGGCGGAACACACCAAGGTACGCCTCTGTAGCACGACTGGTCCACACGTCAGCAATCGGGGACTGTCGACAGCTCTGAGGGTCTGCTTTACCGTAAAGATAAAATATATTAAAGTTGGTTTATTTACCAGATTAATAATTCTGTTATGTCAAATAAAGTTGGTTAAGACTTAACACAAAGAAACAGTTTTGATGCTTAAAGGGACTTTACGGAGTTTAATTTTTATGCTCGCGATTGCCCCCTCAGGCCAAAAGTGGAACGGCAGCTTCAATAGTAGGCTCGTTCACGAGGCATGCATGCTGTACGTGCACACTCCTTAATGAAAATAACAGCTGAGACAGTTGTGTGTGTGTGTGTGTGTGGGGGGGGGGGGGGGGGGGGGGGACAGAGGACAGGAGAACGCGCAGCTAATTAATTAAATAATGTGGTTCTGTACCTTTCTCTTCAGCACAGCCGACAAAGGTTTATGATGGGTCAGTCCTCCTGCATGCTCAGATCATTCCCTTCCCTTGCTTGAAAAATTGTTCCGAAATGAAAGTTGAACCCACATCTTTTTTATCTGTGAATTCAACGCCGTTCGGTGAGTCTCAAATAAAAATTTGGGCATCTTACTGTAAAAAAAAAAAAATACCATTAATGTAAAAAAGAAACTCTAAATAAACTATGTTTGCATCCAGAACATCAACATAGAAATATTGGACGATGGGTTTCCATACGCTCCATTTCACACTGATCTCAGGATCAGGGGGAGAGAGTTCCAGAGTCTGGGGGCCACAGCAGCAAATGATCTGTCATCTTTGGAAGAACCACAGTAGTTATGGACAAATAAAAATATAAAGAACAGACGAAACAGATGTTGGATCTTTTAAAAGTATTTTTGTCATCTAACAGAAAACAGTAAGAAAAATATGAAAAAATGACTGAAGCCACTACAAGAAAAAGGCTAAATAACAGAAAAAATGTACAAACACTGGATTCCTACAGCAAACATAACACCAAGAATATATGGAACTCCAAAAATACTCAAACAAAACACTCCACTTAGACCAATAGTAGACAGCATAGATACACCAACATACAACATGGCAAAAGAAATCAGCAAAATCATCAGCCCGTTATTAGGTAACACAGATCAACGTTGCAAAAATAGCATAGAACTGGCAAAAGAACTAAAAAGGATTACAATAGAAGATAACGACATACTCATCTCACATGACGTCACATCCCTGTTCCCAAAGACACCAACCCAAAAAACCATAGACATAGTAGTTAACAGAATCAGACTGGACAACACTTTACACAAAAGAACAAACCTCACAGCAGATGAAATAGCACAAATGATAGGACTGGTAGCTAGCTCCACTTACTTCACACACAATGACAATATACAAACAACTGGAAGGCTTCGCCATGGGTAACCTGTTATCAGCCACCCTGTGCGAGTTTTTCATGGAAGACCTGGAACAAAAAGCCATAGCCACTGCCCCCCCCCCCCCCCCCCCCCCCCCCCCCCCCCAACTGCAAAATAAAACTATGGAAACGCTACGTAGACGACATACTGGAAATCATACCAAAAGGACAAACAGAAACACCAACACAACACTTAAATAACATTAACGACACAGGCAACATAAAGTTCACATATGAGTCAGAAACAGAAGGCAGTATAGCATTTATGGACTTGAAAATAACCAGGCAGACCGACGGAACCTTAAACTTAAACACATATAGGAAACCAACACACAGATCAATATCTATTATGGACATCAGAACACCCTACCATACACAAAATGTCATTAATCAGAACATTATATCACCGAGCAAACATAATAACAGAAGAGACCATAAACAAGAGGACGAACACATACAACACGCTTTAAAGACCTGCGGATACCCGACATGGGAAATAAAGAAAGGAAAACGGCAAACAACAACAGAAAGAAAAGGACAACCTAAGCAAAGAACCAGCAACCCAGAAAGACAAGAACCAAAACCAGTGATAACCCTACCATACATCAGAGGCATAACAGAACAAATAAGAGCAACAATGAAAAAACACAACATAAACACACCAGCAAAACCATACACAACAGTTAGAAACAGACTAGTGCACCCAAAAGACAAAATGTCAGTAGGACTTAAATGTGGAGTCGTTTACGAAATCCCATGCAAACTGCAATAAAACATACATAGGAGAAACCGGACGCCAACTCAACACACGAACAATAGAACATAGAAAGGAGTGCGAGAAAGAAACAAGTCGAAAACACACAAGAGCAGCAAAACAAGAAGCAGAAAGCACAATAAAGAAGTCAGCCGTAACAGATCACTGCACAAGAAAAAAACCATATAATGGACTGGGACAACACAAGGATCATAAACACCGAACAACAGAAATACAAAAGATGGATAAAAGAAGCTATAGAGATAAGGAGACGTGGATGTGGGACCATACACACACACACACACACACACATACAGGTTGTTCCATCATGGTGGTGAAATGGGATCTGCCTGGTAGGTAGTTGTCGTGGTAACCTCGGATGAGCTGCTTGGTCATCTCTGTGAAACCTTGATCATCGACCATGAACAGGAGTCTCGTGACCACAATGGCCTCGGTCAGGTCGTTAGCTTTCTGAGGTATGCACATAACAAACTCGTCCATTGAAGAGGAGCACTTTTATTACCACTGCAACGTAGAAGGATGAAATAAATCATTAGTGTTTGTAATTAGAGCAAAAATACGTGACATACAAACGTGTTCTAAAGGTAATGACATCACCACTGCTACTGGTGTTGCTACACCTATGTTAGCAGCTATCAAGAGGTAAACTTACCGAGGCAACTCTTCGTTCTCCACCGTGACGTTCTTCCTCTTAAGGTGCTCGTGCATCGCCGATGTGCTTCAGTGAAAGGAGAGTTTCACTTTGCAGATTTAGCACTCTATGGGCCTTTCTTTGGTCTTCGTATAACTCTTCCAGACTTTTGAGCTACGCTGCCCACTCACCATGTTTTTTTCCGGTGATGAAGGCTGATCTGGATGGCCACCACTGCGCATGCGCCTCGTAGCTAAAGCGGCGGCTGAGCAGAAAGGCAGGAAGCAAACGCCGAACGTACCGCAGCAGGTAAGATTTTTTTAAAAAAAGTTTATAAAATAAACGACGCCTCAATTATTAAATAAACAGTCGACTACAGCCATGAAACTCACAGAAAGGGAGCGAGTCACACTTTTGCTTAAAAATGGACTGCAGTAACCACGTGTGTCCACAGGATGTCAGTCTCACAAATTGCACCTTTTAAAATGTTACAACTATTTTGGAGTCTTTCGACCTTTAACCAGTATAAATCATCTGATGACTGGAGAAACCCTCAGAAGGAAACTTTTCCAGGACAGAAGCTCCTGCTGGGCTCAGCAGAACGATGAGTCCTGACCCGGTCCAGATCACCAGCTCAGGGCTTTAAGCCTCTTAGAGTAACGAAGCTCCCGCTGAGGCAGCAGGACCACGACCCGTTCAGAGCCACAGAACCGTCTGGGCCGAGGTGAGTTCATGAGTCCGGGGTGATGTGTGGAGACGTGGTGGCGGTGTGGGAGGTGGCTCTGAGCGACGGCGTCTACAGGATCGAGTTTGCTCATGGGACTACCACAGGGAAACGCATCGTTTACATCAATGGCAAGGTGAGGTCCAGCTTGTGCCCGGTACCAGACGTAGGTGGTTCTGACTTGGGGACTGAGTCCAAGGTTGCAGCATTTCATTAGAAATGGTCCAGGTGTAGAACCTGCTGCTGATGTGGATTCTACCAGAACATCAGGGTGTTCATTCATTTAACAGATGTAAATAAATGACTTCCACAACATTCACTGTGCGTGAAACATAAATAATTACATCTGTGATGCAAAGAATTCATCCGTAACTTGGCTTCAAATGTGAATTTGAAACCAGTGAAGCAGTTTTAATGACTTCACATATCTAAGAAAATCAGAACAGCAGTGAGTTTCTGCAGAAGAGGATTTGGTTCGCTTCCCCCAATTCTGATTTTTTTTTTTTTTCAGAACTCTGACTTTAATCTTACCCCGGGTTTCCACGGGAGCCGTCAGCAGCACGTTACTGCAGCAGCACGTCTTGCTCGCGTAAGCTGCTGCTTGGCCCTTCCCACGAGACGCGAAGCAGCAGGGGAGCAACTGTCACCGACAGAGCACGAAGTCACACGAGTGACTTCGTCAGTAAACACAACAACAAGCAGGAGAAAACTACAACATGACTCCAAAATATTTGTGTTTTTATGTTCTGTCCGTTTTATAATCGCCAATACGGACCTGAAAAACAAAGGAGACCGCTAGCTAGGTGATAACTTCTCACGGGGCCGCACAGTTAGTAACCTTTTTTAAAGTAAAGCGACCGGAAGGCAGTACGTTCTTTATTCTGAAAATCTCGGGAGCTTCTCTCCATTTCCGCGTCCGATTTCCTGTCTTTCCTTCCCCAAAAATGTCGAACTTGACCCGTTTCAGAGGCGTCGCGCGTAGGAAATAGAACCGGCGCGTAAAGGCCGCGACATGCTGCTCCTGAGACGCGGCCGACTCGCGCTGCTGCCGGCTGCCGACGGCTCCAGTGGAAAAGGTTCTGTTGACCACAGCGGTTCCTATCAGCAGCTATGACGTGCTGCTGCAGTAACGTGCTGCTGACGGCTCCCGTGGAAAGCCGGGGTTACAATTTGGATTTCCGGGTTTAAAGTCAGAAAAAAAAAAGAAACTTAAAAAAAATTCTAAAATCAGATTCAAGCTACAATCCAGAGTCTTCCCCCTTTCAGGAATTATGTTAGATTTTGTTTTTTATAAATCCTCATATTTCATAGTCTTACCCTGAACTGTGATATAATGTAGGTAACATGTAAATGTTTTCTTTTTTGTTAAGCCTGCCCCATTGTTCAGCATTAGCCAGTAGTGTTAGACATCCACTTATGTGCAGATGTCAATCACAGAGTGTGTGCCAGCGTTTGAGGACGTACCTAGACCTGATGCTGAGGTAGTGACTTTCTTGTGTAAAAGTCTCTCTCTCTCTCTCTCTCTCTCTCTCTGTATATATATATACAGGGAGTGCAGAATTATTAGGCAAATGAGTTTTGTCCACATCATCCTCTTCATGCATGTTGTCTTACTCCAAGCTGTATAGGCTCGAAAGCCTACCAATTAAGCATATTAGGTGATGTGCATCTCTGTAATGAGAAGGGGTGTGGTCTAATGACATCAACACCCTATATCAGGTGTGCATAATTATTAGGCAACTTCCTTTCCTTTGGCAAAATGGGTCAAAAGAAGGACTTGACAGGCTCAGAAAGGTCAAAAATAGTGAGATATCTTGCAGAGGGATGCAGCAGTCTTAAAATTGCAAAGCTTCTGAAGCAGAAGCAGATCCCACGAACAACATCAGACCTCTCAGTCCAGAAAAGTGCAGTTCTAGGATCAGCTAAGATACCGCGCATAACCCTTAAGCTCCCAGGCCTCTGGGAGAGGACCCCAGCTTGGAAGGATGAGACCACCCTCAGAGGGTGAGATGGGAATTTTTTTTTCATAAACATGCACTCCCACACGTGCGCATGCGCTCCTCAGTCTGTGCCGATAGGGGACTGTAACAAAATAGTAAAACAGATTAACTAGATGAATCTTTATGTCCAAGGTTAAGATTTAAAAAACAAAAAAGCGATTTTTAAAGCTTTGCTACAAAAGGTCACTTTTTACTCAAAATTATTGTAAAACAAAATACTCACAATAAGCTTTTCAAATAGTATTTTCTGAACCACATTTTATATTAATTAAAAAAATGAACCTGCACTTTGCTTTTTAAAGAAAGTAAAATGTTGTTGGGAGAGGGAGAATGTTAAGTGGTCAGCAGCAGTGTCCCTAGGATTTACAGAAATTGAGCAATAGTGTACATAAAATTAGACAGGCACATAAATTTGGACGCTGTTGTCATTTTATTGATTCCAAAACATTTAGAACTAATTACTGGAACTCAAAATTGGTTTGATAAGCTCAGTGACCCTTGACCTCCATACACAGGTGAATCCAGTTATGAGAAAGAGTATTGTAAGTTTCCCTCCTCTTTGAATATTCTCTGAAGAGCAGCATCATGGGGGTCTAAAACAACTCACATGACCTGAAAACAAAGATTGTTTACCATCGTGGTTCAGGGGAAGGATACAGAAAGCTGTCTCCGAGATTTCAGCTGTCTGTTTCCACGGTTAGGAACATACTGAGGAAATGGAAGACATCAGACACAGTTCTAGTTAAGGCTCCGAGTGGAGGACCAAGATAAATCTCAGATAAACAGAAGAGAAGAATAGAGAACAGTCAGTCAACCCACAGACCAGCACCAAAGATCTACAACATCATTCTGCAGATAGAGTCACTGTGCAACTAGGTGCACTTTACACAAGGAGGTGCTGTATGTGAGAGTGATGCAGAGGAAGCCCTTTCTCCGCCCACAGCACAAACAGAGCTGCCAAAGCACATTTGGACAAGCCAGCTTCATTCTGGAATAAGGTGCTGTGGATTGATGAAACTAAAGCCGAGTTATTTGGTCATAACAAGAGACGTTATGCATGGAGGAAGAAGAACACAGCATTCCAAGAAAAAACACCTTGTAATATAGTGATATATATTAGGTAGTAGAGGGATGAAACAATATACTGTTCAGCCGGGCCCAGTTTATATATATTTGGTAGTACCATGGTGCCACCTAGTGGGGAGATGGTGAAATGGAGTGTGTGGCGGAAGGTGTCCAATATGGACACCGGCGGATAGGGATGCTGTCAAGCTGAAGAAAGAGTCCTATCAGGTCTTTTTGGCCTGTGGGACTCCAGAGACAGTTGATGGGTACCGGCAGTCCAAGCGGAACGCGGCTCGGGTGGTCGCCGAGGCAAAAACCCGGGCATGGGAGGAGTTTGGTGAGACCATGGAGCAAGACTTCCATACGGCTTCGAGGAGATTCTGGTCCACCATCTGGCGCCTTGGAGGGAAAAGCAGTGCGCTACCAACACTATCTATAGTGGGGACGGTGTGCTGCTGACCTCTACTCAGGACGTTGTGGATCGGTGGGCAGAATACTTGACCTCCTCAATCCCACCGACATGTCTTCCAGTGAGAAAGCAGAGTCTGGGGACTTTGGGTTGGCCTCTCAAATCTCTGGTGCTGAGGTCACTGAGGTGGTTAAAAAGCTCCTCTGTGGCAAGGCTCCGGAGGTGGATGAAATCTGCCCGGAGTTCCTTAAGGCTCTGGATGTTGTGGGGCTGTGTTGGCTGATGTGGCTCTGCAATATCGCGTGGACATCGGGGGCAGTCCCACTGGACTGGCAGACCAGGGTGGTGGTTCCCTAATTTAAAAAGGAGGACCGCAGGGTGTGTTCCAACTGCAGGGGGATCACACTCCTGAGCCTTCCTGGTAAGGTCTATTCAGGGGTTCTGGACAGGAGGGTCCGTCAGATTGTTGAACCTCAGATTCAGGAGGAGCAATGTGGTTTTCGTCCTGGCTGTGGAACACTGGACCAGCTCTATATCCTTAGGGGGATCCTGGAGGGTGCGTGGGAATTTGCCCAACCAGTCTACATATGTTTCGTGGATTTGGAGAAGGTGTTTGACCGCGTCCCTCTGGAGGCCCTGTGGAGGGTACTCCGGGAGTATGAGGTACCAGGTCCTCTGAAACGAGCTGTTAGGTCCCTGTATGACTGGTGTCAGAGCTTGGTCCCCGGCAGTAAGTGTTGGCAGTAAGTCGGGCTCGTTCCCAGTGAGAGTTGGACTCCGCCAAGGCTGTCGTTTGTCACCGATTCTGTTCATAACCTTTGTGGACAGGTTTTCTAGGCGCAGCCAAGGTGGGGAGGGCATCCATTTTGGTGGTCTGAGGATCAGGTCTCTGCTTTTTGCAGATGGTGTGGTCCTGTTGGCTTCATCAGAACGTGATCTTCAGCTTTCGCTGGAGCGGTTCCCAGCCGAGTGTGAAGCAGCTGGGATGAGAATCAGCTCCTCTACATCTGAGACCATGGTCTTGATTCGGAAAAGGGTAGAATGCCTTCTTCGGTTCAGGGATGAGGTCCTGCCCCAAGTGGAGCAGTTTAAGTATCTCGGGGTCTTGTTCACAAGTGAGGGAAAACTAGAGCGTGAGATCGATAGGCGGATTGGTGCTGTATCTGCAGTGATGCGGGCGTTGTACCGGTCTGTCGTGGTGAAGAGAGAGCCGAGTCAGAAGGCGAAACTCTCGATTTACCGGTCGATCTACATTCCTACCCTAACCTATGGTCATGAGCTTTGGGTAGTGACCGAAAGAACGAGATCGCGGATACAAGCGGCCGAAAAGAGTTTTCTCCGTAGGGTGGCTGGGCTCTCCCTTAGAGATAGGGTGAGAAGCTTGGTCATCCGGGAGGGGCTCGGAGTAGACCCGCTGCTCCACCACATCGAGAGGAGCCAGTTGAGGTGGCTCAGGCATCTGGTCAGGACGCCTCCTGGACGCCTTCCTGGTGAGGTTTTCTGGGCACGTCCAACTGGGAGGAGACCTAGAGGTAGACCCAGGACACGTTGGAGGGACTATGTCTCTCACCTGGCCAGGGAACGCCTTGGGATTCCCCCGGAGGAGCTGGCCCAAGTGGCTAGGAAGAGGGAAGTCTGGGCCTCTCGCCTTAGGCTACTGCCACCGCGACCCGACTCCGGAAAAGCGGGTGAAAATGGATGGATGGATGGACATTAAAAGATTCTACCTTCAACTCATCCAGACATAGGACGTTTTATCGCATGCTGGTATCTTCGTGTCACATCGCATCACATTCCTGCAGAATAACAAATGTTTCTGGAATCCAGTGAAATTATCCAATCAAAACACCAGTAATTACTCCTGGAGTTCCTCAGGTTCCGCTCTTGATGCCTAACGTTTAAACTTCGGCTCAGTGCAGTATTTCACAGAGAATGATTCACAAAAACTAAAGACTATCAATCCAACTTGTAGCGCCACACAGAGAGCAGTTACCATGGCAACTAAAGCTGACAGACAGGTGTGTCCTGAACATGTCCTCTCAACAGGAAGTCATCAGAAAAGACTGGATGTTCAAGCTGGTTGGAAAGGAGACCTTTACCGTGGGCAGCTCCGACATTAAAGCCACCATCAACATCGAGGCCATCGGCGGCTTCTCCTACGAGTATTCACTCAACATAGACGGGACGAGTCTCCAGAAGTTCATTAACAATAGAGCTAAGGCCACCAGGACCTGGGTGTTCCAGATGGACGGGGCAGACTACAGGGTGGTCCTTGGTGAGTTCTGCAGAAACACCAGCTCAGACTGAGATTAGCTCAGGTGAACAAAGTTTGAGAGAATTTAAGATTTGGACTAAACTTCCTTTTGTTCAACAGAAAAGGACACTATGGATGTTTGGTGCAACGGACAGAAAATGGACACAATGGTGAGAAAGACTTGAGTTAAAGCAACAAGTTGTGCTTCTGAGTCTATAGACAGCCACGAAAAAGTCAATAAAATTTTATTTTTGATTATCAGTAACATAACCATCAAACACCAACGGCAATTTCTGCTTTAATTTTTAAACCAACACGTTTTACATATTTTAGACTAGTTCATTCAAGAAAGAAGAACTGTAGGTTTGACTTTCTTCATATGATGTATGTTTTTCTAAAACTACGCTTTTATTAAAAAAAAAAAAAGGTTTCATAGGTCAGATTTATATATTTATTAAACATGTTCTTGTATCACTTGTTTATTTATGGTGTTTATTTATTTGACCGATTAACTAAATTCACAATATAATTCTAAATTCCAACATTTTTTTAATTTATTTTATTTATTTTTTTTTTACTGATTTTGGGATACTTTTATTTTCTAAACCAGTTTTTTCCCCCGAAGACGCTTCCTGTTTAAAAAAAATTCCAAGTTTTCCTCCACTGTCACATTTATTTATTTATGCATTTTTCAGGTCATTAGTTTTGGGTCCAGGGGTCTCATTTATCTAACATTGTGTAGAATCCTTACTAAAACCGTACTTGAGCTCAGCAAAAAAAATGTACTTACGCCAAGTAGGTTTGTGATCTATCAAATATGGAATATGCACAGCTGCACGCAATCTCTGCTTTATAAATCTGAGACTAACTAGAATGTTTCTCAGCTGCTTTTTAGTCACATCCCGCCCTCACCACGCCCACTTCCTGCCATAAATAGTCAATGCAAAGTGCCTTGTGGATCTCATGCATATACATAAGCCGGCTGTTGCAGCGCTCCGCCAATGACGATGGCGACCGCAGATCAAGGCGGATCAAGGAAGCGCTATTTCACAGAAGCAGAAATGGAGGTACCTGTGGGTGAGGTGGAGAAATGAAAGGAAGTGCTTTTGCAAAACAAATAAGAGAAAATCCACGGAGTGGCACAGCGTTGCTGAAGCCGTCAATGCTGAGTTCTTCTGAGAGATCTGTGGCGGATATAAAAAAAACTGGTCCAATCAGGATTTGATCCACAGAATCCCGGGTGAGAGTCATGCACACTAACCAGTCACCCAAACGGCAATCTCCCCTGCCAGGGCGCATGATCAATCGAGTCACAGTGACAGGGCACACACTGTAGAGTCTACAGTGTAGACGCATGACATTCTGTCTCAATCTGTCCCCCTGCTGATATTCTGCACTTCGTATTCTGCGCTTCAGGCTGTGTGTGTGTGTGTGGGGGGGGGGGGGGGGGTGTCTTGTTCTGTGTGAAAACGAAGCAGTACAAGTGATAATGCTGCAGGATTTCATAATTGTATCTTCTCAGCAGCAGCACTGCAGGTGCTCTCTATGTCCAACATGTGCGTAAGCCAGGTCCTTAGTCAACTTAAAGTTGTGCACATTTTTCCGCTACGTTTTCTTTCATAAATCCCAAAGTTTGCGTGGAAAGTTGCTTATGCAGTTTTCCGACCCCGTTTTGTGTGTAAGCAAGCTTGATAAATGAGGCTCCTGGTTTTTAATGTTATATTTTTTTTCCTTTCCTCCCATGATGTTTATTGAAATCCAGAAGTATTTTTTAAAGACTCGTTTGGTTAAATCGTCTTGTTTTGACTTTTACCTTTTATATGTTCCTGTTTGTTTTGTTTTTTCCTGCTCATTCCTGGCCTATGTTATTTCCGGTTTATCTTGGTCCCCCACCTGCAGCTCTGCTGGTTTCTGTCCACAGGGAGAGTTCGTGGACGACGGAACCGAGACACGGTTCTTGGTGGGGGGTCACGACTGCTGCATCAAGGCCACCAGCAGCGGGAGGAAGAGGAGCGGCATCGTTCACCGTTTACTGCTGGATGGAGAGACGGTACCGGGTCTGGCTTATTAGGAACCGGAACCGAGCCGTATCTGGAGCAACTACACAGGATGGGACATTTAGATTTTGGACACTTGGATCATTTTTAAACAGGATTATATCCGGATGAAGAGATCTAATAAAATTTGACGTCAGCAGCATTGTCCCTGTTTGTGTCCAGCTTCTGTGAAAAATCTCTAGGAAATATAATTTTAGTAACTGAGAGAAGACGCGTCCAGCTGTTAAGTAGACGGCAAAACCGGAACAGGAGAAGATCGATTTCCAAAACAAAATCACAATTTGACCTTTTAAAAATCGTATCCACTTCCAATTGAAAATTAATGCCTTAAAATAAGCACAGTAATAATGGTGACAATAATGTCTTACTAAATCTTGGGAGTTCCAATTTAAAATGTCAATTTAGTCTTTAAAAAAGATTGTGGAAATATTTTTAGAGATTTCTGTGGTGGATCTATCCGAGCAGTCTCATTTTCACTCAATGGCTGATGTAGACTTTTCACTAGCCCCTAGAGGTGATGAATAGATTTTTATTTATACAATTTAATTCAAGCAGGTCAAGATCTAGCCTAAATACATTTTATACATCTGTTTTTATCTTAGTCAGTCACGGGGAATAAACTATTCCAAATGCAGCTGGCCGAAGGTCAGAAAAATAATCTAGAATACTACCCCAATGCAGAAGTACTAGATTTAGATAGTTACAAATATTGTAGGTTTTATTGCAGGCTAAAGTTGCTATTTTCTGATAAACGGTCACATATCGGTTGGAATAAATTAACTGTAAGTTATTGGTTTTGAACAGAGGGGTCGTCTTGCTGTTGCTGTAGCAACCCCAAGCCATCTCGAAGTGTCATGTTGGCGGTCTCTGGCTTTATTTTGAAACGCCGGACCGGAACTCTGTGTAATATGATCCTCGCGCGAGGAAATCCCGGTTGGGATCTTGTGGGACAGAGCCCACCTAGCTGGGATACTGGACCGGAACAGCGTCCTGATTTTGTTGAGAGGTCATACCTGTTATAGACGGAGCTTTTAACCGCTACGGAGTGTCCCGGAGCTCCCGCTGCGCAGCTCCACATCCAGGCCGAGGAGGACCCCAAGCTGTTCATCTGTCGCGGAGACAAAACCCACGGAGGGACAGGAGCGGGGATCCAAACTACACACCTCCAGTGTTTACCGAACCACCAGCATCCACTGGTGTTGTTCACCTCTCCGGGTCTCTCCTGCGTCTCGTCCGGGAACTCAGCCCCACTCTCCGGCCTGATGTGAGGCGGACTTTAACGCGTGGGAGTCGGCGATTTCCTGTCTTTATCCTTGGTTTGTGGAAGCTATAGCTAGTTAGCTTTAGCCACCTAACAAGGCCGTCTCGTCCGGTTCGTCATGACACAAAGTGCCGTAAAAAGCCTCCAGTAGTCCGGCAACACGTTAGGAAGCCGGTGGGATACTGCCCAGACAGGAGGTGGGATATGGGGAAGCGGTGCTCCGCCGCCTGCCGCACATCTGTCACTGAAGCGGAGCTGGGAAGTGGGACGCACCGCCGAACAGCTGCTTTCTCCGGACAGTAGCAGCCACCTGCCGCGGCCGCTGGAGGAACACTCGGATTAGATACTCCAGGGATGTAGAGGGTCTGAGCTCTCTGTTGGATTAAAACATTACTGCGTAGAGACCAAATCCAGCATCAATCCCGCTGGTCAGCAGATGAGGATTCAGAAGTCCTGAACAGTCTCCTGGAGCTTCACCGACCTGATTCTCCAAACCTCTCCCCGGGGGTCCGCTGCTTTTTGCGGAGAGCAGTTAGGTGAACCCCCACAGGGAGTTCCAGGGATGAACTACCAGCAGCACCTGGCCAACTCGGCCGCGATCCGGACCGAGATCCAGAGGTTCGAGTCCGTCCATCCCAATATCTACTCCATCTATGAGCTGCTGGAGCGGGTGGAGGAGCCGCTGCTGCAGAACCAGATCCGGGAGCATGTCATCGCGATCGAAGGTAGGAGCGGAGAAACCCCCGGGTGTCCTGGTTCTTCTTGGTCCAGATAAGGGAGCACACTCCTGCAGAACCCGTGGTTCTGCTCCATAGTTCTGTAGCTTTTTGTTTTATAAACATGACGAAACACGGACTTGATTCTGCTCAGAGCACGAGACAGGTGGACTTCAGGTCCATCAGGAGGAGGCCTTGGTACAGATGTTAGAAGGCAGGAGCTCATGCAGATGTGGGAGGAGCCTAATCCAGATGTGATTAAAGCGTCCTCCAGGACCCAGATGACCAGCTTGATATTTAGGGTTTATTGTCCACATCTGTGTGGACTAGTGGAGTTGATGTGAGACGTGTTTAGATGTTCAGGTCACAACCAGAATCTGGTGTAATTTGGGCCTGCTTGACCCTGATCCAGCTGTTAGCCTCTTGGTGCACATCTGGACAAGCTTACTGAATCTCAGCTCAGTATTTAGTTTCTGTTGTTTATCCGATTAAAACTGTGGTGTGTGTGTGTGTGTGTGTGTGTGTGTGTGTGTGTGTGGTCAGAACCAGCAGAAATATCAGACCTGCACTTCTTAAGTCAAGTCCAGTCTGCTCTGTCCTCTGCTCTGTAAGGTGGACACCTCCACTTCTTCTCCTATGATGGAACAAGTGTTTCACATGTTCCTGCTTCTTCTAAAATTCACAATCTTCTCTTTGGTTTTAGAGGAGATGATTGTTGTCACACCGCTCCACTAAGTAGCCCACCAGGTCTCTGTCCTTCGGTGGTGTTGAGGCAGAAATGGTGTTTTCATCATTCCTGTCCCTGTTAAGTCGGGATGATTTTACCCCTAAGTCCTGCAACCTCCAGTCCCGGGGGGTGTTTGGGTTTAAGGGGTTAAAGAACAACGTTCCATCTATCTGATTCTGTTCTTCATCCCTCACCACACATCTCCTATTGTTCTGCTGGAGCTCGGTCTCCAGGTGCTTCCTGGACACTTCCTTGTTGAACGTACCTCGACTTTGAGCTGCTTTTCTAATCTCCTCTGTGGTTCTAGTCTCCCTCCCAGACTACTCTTTTACTTGTTAAGCGGTTCTTTTGTGTCCCTGGGGATCCAGGGCTGTCCGTAAGGAGGAACCTCATAGTTCTGGTGAGGAGAACGACGTCCTCACACTCAGGTTTGACACAGATGTCGTCTGTGGCCCAAAGAGTTCTTCCCACTCTGGAACCTGTAGGAGGCTTGGTTCTATTTGCTTTAATAATTTGTAATTTTTAATTATTACTAGAGAGTGAGTTGAGTCTGGGTCTGGTCCGCTCCATCTGTGACATCCGTCTGTGTGTGAGGTCCGTGAACGCACCGCATTTCCTTTCAGGACCTGTTCTCAAGTTTCATCTGCTTGGGTCAACTGGATCAAACAGATAAAGTTACACAAACAGCAGTCACACACACACACACACACACACACACGCACGCACGCACGCACGCACGCACGCACACACACACACAGTTGGTTGAACAGGTTTCAGGCTTGTGTCCCTCTAGAGCCACCATACATCTTTAGTTCCCAAAGCTGAAGAAAGAGAACAAGCTTCAGTCTGTTTTGGTCCAGAGGTTCTGGTACCAGAAGAGCCCACAGTGGTTTGGGCTTTTCTAGACTTGTGTAAACTCGTCCTCACGTCCCTGATGGAGCGTCTCACTCATGTCATCACTGCATCCATCCACCTCGTCTTTGGTGCTCTTGTCTGGTGTCTGTCTTCTCTTCTCCCGCGCTCTCATCTGAGGATGCTGTTGCTAGGCGACAATCAGCTGACTAATTCCTGTATTTTAAATTTTTTTTTATGCATCATGATTTTTGCACAGCTGAGTAACCAAAGGTTCCGGTTCTGCTTCTGTTTCAGATGCGTTTGTGAACAGTCAGGAGTGGACCCTGAGCCGAACAGTACCAGAACTTAAAGTGGTGAGTTTTAGAAACTTCTAGACTAGGTTTTAACCCATCAGGCTGCTGGGACAGGAACTCTGAACCACTGATCCTGATCCAGCTGGACTTCCTGGAGCTCCCCAGCCTGTCTAGAGGTCTGAAGAAGAACTAATATTTAGGAGGTGTTAGGACCACTGGGATCATGATGACCCTGTTCTGTGTGGTTCTTATGATCCAGTTAGAATCTGTGTAAACATCAGATGTCAGTCAGATATGTCGGCGATCTTTTGGGATCCACTGATTTCTTGGTTTCCACAGGGCATTGTGGGTAATCTGGCCAGTGGGAAGTCGGCGTTGGTCCACAGGTACCTGACAGGAACGTACGTCCAGGAGGAGTCTCCTGAGGGTAGGAACGTCTCTGATGCCTTTTAACACCTGTTCCTGTTTTTTGTACTAAACCCACCAGAACCGATCCAGACGGACCTCCAACCCCAGACTGTGATCTGTAAAACTCTAATAAACCGTCAGACCTGTTCCCACTGTCCACCAGACTGACCCGAGATCAGACGTAAGCCCGTCCCGGTTCTGGATGCAGTCTTTGGTGTGTTTGGTCTGGAGCAGTTTCCTCGTGTATTAGTAAACAATGCAGCGTCTCCAGGCTAAGAACTTTCCAGAACCTCACAGCGCCACCGTGTCCCGCCCCAGACCCGCTCCGCCTCTGTAGAGCTGCAGGAATGAGTCGTTTAGACGCTTCAAGCAGCTAAAACGGCCCACCATGTTCCAGTCTGAGACAAAAGACACGTGGACGGGAGACAGAACCAACAAAACCTGTCTCAGGAAGAAGAGCGAGACAAACCAGAACCATCAGGTTGAATTTAGAGACACGTTCGCTAAAGTGGTTCCAAACAGATCCACAAAGACAGTTTGGGGATTATCTGAGATGTGAGGCTGCTCCCTCTGGTTTAAAGATCCTGCTGTTGCTATGGTTACGCATTACAACAAGTAGCCATAAAGTGAACAATTAACAGCAAAGATCCTTCTAAAATCTGACTCATAAATCAACAATAAGCACCTAGAGTCCTGGTTCTGATCCAGGTCCTGGTCCTGAGGGTTTTGGGTCTTCCTGACTCAAACAAGGAGATGCTGCTGGACTAAATTACTATCAGTTTCCAGACTAGGTTCTAGCCCTGAGGAGCAACGTGTGACATGTCCATCACTGGTCCCAGTAAGCATGTGACCGCTGCTGCTGGAGCGACCATGTTTCAGATGATGATGATGATGATGATGATGATGTGGGTGCTCCCGTGGCTCTTTTTACAGTTCAAGTGTTCCGCACGCAGATGTTTCCAGAGATGATTTCAGTCTTGTTGATAATTTCCAGCTCGAAGTGAAACATCTCCTTGTTCTCCAGTACGATCTGGTACAACAGCTATGGGAAGGGTGGAGGAAATGACTCCATGTTGGAGTCTCTTTAGCCCTTCACTGAGCTGGGGTTCCCGAGGAGCCGATCACTAGGGCTGGGGGTAAACGATTATTTTTAAAACGATTATTCTGACGATTATTTTATCGAATAGTCGACTATTCTAATGACTATTTAGAAAATTAATCTAATGATTATTTTTCTATTGCACAATTAACAAAAACCAGAAAATCTCAAATAAATTCCTCAAAAAAATTGATAAATTCTTACTGTAAGAGAATAAACACTACAGGCCTTCCATTTTGTATAACACTGCTTTTATTGTGTTGCGGTTGGTTATGTTCTGATGACGTGTAGAACTTGGGAGTGCAGGCTGCTGCCTGAGAGGTGGTAGAAGATGGAGTGTCTCCATGCTGCTTTGTTTTGGTCACTTATGTGCATGAGGCGAGTGGTCTTACGGGTTAAACCAAACTCAGGTGATATTTTACACTAAACCGAAAACCCACAACACTCTAAATGTAATAAAAGGGAGATCTGCACCACAAAAAAGATGAACTCTAAACCAAAACGTAACAGCTTATCCCAACGCAAGAAGCTGTTAGCGAAGATGCTAACAGTAGCTTTACCAACGTTAAGTTCAAGTTACCAAGTTTAAATAAACCAAAAACACCCGGCAGCAAACAGACCAGCACGGAGGAGAGACTGCTACCACCAAAACAGCTCTCCTCATGTCTGAAAGAAGCTCCTTAATGAAGGGAGAAGCGCTCCCGGTGATTTTCTACATCTGCGATAGACACGAAGCAGCGCATCTGACCCCGGAAGTTGTTGTCCGTTGCCAGGAGACGAAGGGGCAAAACAGGAAAATAATCTAGTAGTGGACGGACGTTGTTCCGGGTCTTCGGTATTTGGCGGAGATGTTAGTGAAGGCGGAGAAGAGGGCGAACTAGAGGAAAAACGGGCAGATTCCTCCTCTATTTACAAACTCCTGGGGATGCAACAAGTGGGCGCGGTGCGTCGACTTCCGGATCTGACGTCGACAAATTTTTAGAATCGAGCCGTCGACTTCGTCGAGGCTTCGCTACAGCCCTACCGATCACCTCCAGCAAACATCTTCTAGCAGTCCTGGAATCTGGGGACAGGGTTTAGACCAGTTCCTCTGGCAGTGCTCTGCAGAAGCTGGACTCTGGTTACCATGGAGACTGTACACATCTCACTCATATGATGTCTTTACCCCAGCCTTCAATCTCAGGCCTAATGGTATAATAATAATAATAATAATAGTTGTTATCTGATCCACACTAGTCTTTGTCCATGTCTCACTGAGGCTTACCTCCATAAAGCCTGGTTTATGCTTCTCCGTCAGCTCCGCAAGGGACAGACACGCACGGATTGACGGAAGCGATTTGCTCTTTTACTTCTCCGTCTCCTGGAGAGTGTTGCAAAGCAATTCCTCGGCAGGACAACAGAGGGCGTAGCGCTGTTCTGTGGTATCCTGTCATGCATCGGTCCAAGATAATGTGTTTATATTGTGTCTTTTGTGTATATAAGAGACTTTTACATATTTGTCTCTCATTCTCCCACCTCTTCATGTGCTCCCGACCTCTAAACCCATGTTTCCTGTCATTTCCGTCCACAAATAAAACGCTTGCTGCGCATCTTTTCACTCCTCCAGTCACGGGAGGATGAAACGTTCATATTTTTAGAGTTTTTTCACGAGGTATTCTTCAAGCTTCTCCGTGTCTGCCGCTAGTTAAACTCGGCTCTCTTTGCAATGGCGACGCTGTAAACAACAGCGGCGTCCTGACCAATCACAAGCTTGCGTAATCCGTCTCGTTCGACGGATGTTTAAAAAAGTGGGCTCGAGTCCGTACGTACTTGCGAGCCTGCCGGAGCCCTACGCAAGGACGGATAATGGCGTTGCGTGTCTCCGCACTGACGCAGACGGAGAAGCATAAATCAGGCTTAACACTCAACTCTTTGGACTGGGAGGTCACCTGACCTCTGACTTTGACCCTTGACCTTTGACTGCCACAACTCTCTGAAGCTCTTAGACCTCCAGGTTCTTCAGGTTCTGCTGCTTTTACGTCTCTGTTTATTACCACCCCCCTCCCCGTTGATCTGAATCCTTCATGCTCTGTTTTTCTTCTCTTCCTGTCTTTGGACTCACCTTGTGTAACAGCTGACGTGGATGCAGGTAAAAACACCCTCCTCACCTCCCTCTATCCTAGATCCTGTTAGAGGTGGATTCAGGTTCAGTTCTGCAGATCCTTGGCTTCATCTCCGATCTGGTTGTGTCGGGTCGGGTCTGATCTATTCCGGCCTGGCTTGATCCCAGACCAGATCATTTTTCAGTCGGTCTGTAGTCTTAAAGCGGTCCTAGAATACAAAACTACATTTACCTTGTTGTTGTTGATGAGCAAGGCAGCTAGGGGTTCAACAAGGTCCGTTCCATCTCTGACCTGCTTTTATGTAAACCAGTAAAGCTTTAAGCTCATGAGATTAGACACGCCCCTTTCATCTGCATGTCCCAACCCACTTCAGCATCAGGAATATAAAACCTTACTAGGTAGTTATAGAACCAGCAGAGTTTACCGGCCAATCAGCACACGGCTCATTTCATATTCACGTCTTGGTCAAGTGGGCGGGGTTAACCTGTCTCATGGCTCTTATTATGGGGCTGTCTTTGGCCCCAAGGTCATTTTGGGCCCCAACACAGTTTCTTGTGTGTCATAGAGCCACAACGTTGTTCTAGGACCTCTTTAGGTTATCCAGACCACCTGATCTCTGAAGAAAACCAGATGGTCGGGATATTTAGGTCTACTGGGACCTGAAACTGCTGATCCTGGACCTGAGCTTTTAGTACCACCCCCTCATCACCATCATCATTACCATCATCATCATTCTCCACTGTAGTTGAACTCCATATCCACATCAGTTGTCCGATCCTGTTTTCAGTTCTGATTCCAATCCTGATTCTGATACTAACACTCATAAAACTAATCTGTTATAACCTCCAGCATCATTCAATAGCTCCGCCCACATTCTTTAGAGACATGAATGGCTCCACAGAGCTTCAGACTTCAGGGTCAAAGGTCAGAACTCTGTGGTGATCAGATCTGAGATCAGAGGAACATCTTTCATCCTCATTGCTCAGCGTCATCTTGCATAGCTCCTCCTACCTGGTACCTTGAGTGCGGTCAGCTGATTGGCGGCTGTTTTCCAGGAGGACGCTTTAAGAAGGAGATGGTGGTGGACGGTCAGAGCCACTTGCTGCTGATCAGAGATGAAGGAGGTCCTCCTGAGGCTCAGGTAGGTTCTGCTCCACTCTGATGGGTTGGGTCAGGTTCGGGACAACTTCTTCTGATGGGCTTGAACTGGGGATGCTCCAATCCGATCACGTGATCGGAAACAGGTCAGATCTCGTGATGTTCAGGAAATCGGAATCGGTGGGAAAAATCAGATTTTACCATACAAGCGCCTCTACATCAGTATTCTTCGTTTCACAGACAACACCATAAAGTCCCACAATTTAAGGTAGTTTGGGAATCCACGCACCATAACATGTAGCAGTTAGCTAACAGAGCATAGTTGTCACCTCAAGAGAGAAAAAATGTCTGTTATTTATTTTTGAATGAACAGCAAAAGGAGTGTTTTAAACGCGTGTTATGTGTGCAAAGGCTTTAATGAGGTGGAAAAGGTCGTGCTGCATTCAACACTGATGTGCCACCTTAAAAAACGGACCCTGCTCAGTTCACTGCAGGAATTCAGCTAAGCCAGCCGACACGAAAAGATACTTAAAGAAACCAAGAAATGGTCTACGGACAGCAAACATGCCAAGAGAGCTGAATATTTATTACACTGCATGAGTGTCTGAGGTTGCAAACGTCGTGTTCTTCAGTCTCCCTGAGTCACGGTATGATCTGCTCTCTTCTTACCTTTACAAACGTAGCAGCTTCACAGTTGTTTTGTAGACAAAAGTTACTCTGCTGCTGACCGTCATGCGCCACGCCTTTTGCTGAAAGCAGCCACACACGGAGTACACGATAAAAAATATGAGCGACTGGGCTACTTTTACATTTATTCGTAATGTTAACGCGCTTCTTAGTAAAGTACTTCCTAAACAAGTGATGTTTTTTGGCTAATCTACTAAAGAAACTAAATTAATACAGAAAGAAAGAAACGCATTAATGTTAATAAGGACAACTCTAGTGTGTTCGCCTTCTTTCGTTTCTGAACTATCGGATCGGGACTCGGTATCAGCAGATCCTTAAAATCAAATGACTCGGAATTGGATCGGGAGCAAAAAAAAAAAAAGTGATCGGAACATCCTTAGCTTGAGCTTTTTTGTGCACTAGAAAATGTACCGGGACCGGTTATGTGTTGCTCCAGGCTGAAGGTTGTGTTCTGTTTTGTAGTTTGCATTATGGGTTGACGCCATCGTCTTCGTCTTCAGTCTGGAGGACGAGATCAGCTTCCAGACGGTCTACCACTACTTCAACCGCCTGGCCAGCTTCAGGAACGCCACAGACCTGCCACTGGTTCTGGTCGGGACACAAGGTCTGACACACACCTCTTGTCTCGGTACTAGGACCGGTCAGATTTGATCCACGTCAGTCTGATTGAGGCTCTGCTGCCTCCTTCTGGCCCCAGATCAGAACTACAGCTGATCTCAGTTCAGTTTACCACTGGGGTCGGTTCTGATCTAGTCCATTGATCTAGATCAGGACCCTGGTTCTAGATCAGAACATTGGTTCTAGATCAGGACCCTGGATATGGATCAGGACCTTGGTTTAAAATCAGGACCCTGGTTCTGGATCAGGAACTTGGTTCTAGATTAGTACCCTGGATCAGGACTCTGGTTCTAGTTCAGAACCCAGGTTCTAGATCAGGAACCTGGTTCTGGTTCAGGACTCTGGTTTTAGATCAGGACCCAGGTTCTAGATCAGAACCTTGGTTCTAGATCAGGACCATGGATCTGGATCAGGACTCTGGTTCTAGATCAAGACTCTGGTTCTAGATCAGGTCCCTGGCTTTAGATCAGGACCCAGGTTCTAGGTCAGGACTCAGGTTCTGGATCATGACCCTGGTTCTGGATCACAGTATTAGTTTCTGATCAGGATTCTGGTTTTGGATCAAGGCCCTGGTTCTAGATCAAGACCCTGGTTTTGGATCAGGAACTTTGTTCTAGATCAAGACTCTGGTTCTGGATCAGGACCTTTGTACTGAACCAGGACCTTGGTTCTAGATCAAGACCCTGGTTTTGGATCAGAACCCTGGCTTTAGATCAGGACCCAGGTTCTAGATCAGGATCTTGGTTCTAGATCAAGACCCTCATTTTGGATCAGGACCCTGGCTTTAGATCGGGACCCAGGTTCTAGATCAGGACCCTGGTTCCTGATCAGGACCTTGGTTCTGGATCAGGAACTTTGTTCTGGATCAGGACCCAGATTCTGGATTAGGACCCTGGTTCTATATCAGGACCTTGGTTTTACATCAGGACCTTGGTTCTGGATCAGAACCCTGGTTCTTGATCAGGACCTTGGTTCTGGATCAGGAACTTTGTTCTGGATCAGGACACTTGTTCTGGATCAGTACAGTGGTTCTAGATCAGGACCCTGGTTCTGGATCAGGACACTGGTTCTAGATCAGGACCCTCGTTCCAAATCAGGACCTTCACTCTAGATCAGGACCTTGATTATGGATCAGAACCCTGGTTCTAGATCAGGACCCTGGTTCTTTATGGATCTGTGACTTTGGGAGGAAACCAAACACATGAGGTTCTAATGAAACAGATTCATGTAGTTCTAGTCCTGAAAGGGTTCCAGAGACCAGGATCAGTCTGATTCAACCCAAAGCCACTTGCTCATCTGTTGAAAGGAACCATAACCCAGACAGACATTAGGCGACCCCAGAACCAACAGGTCAGAGGTCAAAGGTCATGACAGATAATCAAATGCTTAGCAGATCTCTAAATGCTTTTATTTTGGTGACCTGAATTGTTTCCTGTGTTTTGTTTTGATATTGTACTCTCTACCTCAGTCACCTCAGGCACTGGTTCAGGAACCGAAACCACTTCCTGATCCCTGTTGGAACATTTAAAAAGGGGCGGGGCAAATTTGGTAAACTTACTAAATAAAAAAATCATTAAAAACCAATGAATGTTTAATTTGTTTAATCAAATATTAGCAATGGAATTAGATTTGATCAGATTCTTTTGGATGGAGCAGTTCTGGTGATTCTGTCCTTCGCAGAAGCTTCATAATTAAATTGATGAAGGTTCTGGAGACTCTTCTCTTGCCTGAGCTCCTCAGAGCCTGATCAAAGGGGGGTTTTAGCAGCAGGAGACCTGGACCCACCAGGAGGTGGCGCCAAAGTCCATCTGATCTTTCTATAAGCTGCTGGTCTGGAACCAGTTTCTAAGTCCAGATGTTTCAGGCTGCTTTTGTGTGTCCCAGATCTGATCCATTCAGTCTGGAACCTGGTCCACCTGTAGGACCTTGTCCACCTGACCAACGCTTCATTGTCCTGAGAGATCTGGACACACAGAGACATCACAGTACTGTTGCAATTTTTAGCAACATGTTAGCAGGAAGTTGTTTTTCTGTTCCTGTCAGATGCCATCAGCTCGTCCAATCCGAGGGTGATTGACGACAGCCGTGCCAGGAAGCTGTCCAATGACCTGAAGCGCTGCACCTACTATGAGACCTGTGCTACCTACGGCCTAAACGTGGAGCGGGTCTTCCAGGACGGTAAGAGGTTCTGGACTCATTGTCGGCAGAAACCCGGGATGGGGGAGCACAGAGACATCACAGTACAGATAAAATTTCTGATCCCATATGGAACCCCCGAACCAGCGCAGAAGTTCCTGTTATCGTTTCTAGTTCTTCTGACCTTCGATTAAAAGTGGTACTTCACTGAAAAACCATTTTTACTGATAATTTCTGATTATAAACAGTCAACTGTGGGTTTTTCATGCACGCTGAACATGAAAACAGTCTCCTACACCTACCTCCTACTTTAGCTTGTGATAGATAATAGACAGTGAAACTCTAGGATTAGAAAAGCCTGACAGATCTACGTCACACTGCTACTTAACGTTCATGGACTTACCCATCTTGACTCACGACGGGGAAGGCTGTTGTTGGTTTAGCGTCCAACAGAGAACGTATCTGTTAATAGAAGCTAACTGTTAGCATTAGAAACTTCACCACACAGCAGAACTTCTCCAAGCTTGTGTTATTTGTGGAGATTAAATGTCAGTGTTGTAAGTTAGTGGTAGGGTTGTGTTGCTGATATCCAATCAGAGGCGAGATGTTCAAATATCAGGAAGTAAGACTCCAAATCCTGCCGTGGTAAGATAGTTTCTCCTCCAGCTGTGAAACAGGTGCATCTGAGCTTTTTTTCCCCAGAGTATGACTTACAAGGCATTCATTCCTACTAGAGACCACTGCACATGAAATATGAGTCCTCTTTAGTCTTTGACCCAGTTTAGATTCTAGTTCTGTTTCTTTTCAAGGTGATGTTTTCAAGGCTGACCTTTACACCCTGAATCATTCAAGATCTCTAACTAAAGGGATGAGCCACATGTTGCCTCTAGAAAAAGAAACCAGACATTCCTCTGAACACATCGTGATGCAGCCTTCATCGCTGACTCCACTCATCCACTGAGTTCTGATTTGTTCTTGTTTCCTGCTGATGGTTCCTTAATCCATGCCTCTGGTCCAGTCACATCCCTCATGTATGGGTAAAATGCAGTTCTTAGTTAGTCCTGCAGGGGGAGGCGATGCAGCACAGAGAGTTGGTAGGTGTGCGCACGTGCGTGTGTGTGTGTGTGTGTGTGTGTGTTTGGATGTTTTCGGCCTCAGGAGAGAGCTCCTCACTAAACGCTGCCTTGTTATCCTCTTTATCATTCCTCCGTGTGTATTGCTGAGTGGAGAAATGTGTGTCTGTGTGTTAATCTGGGTTTTGTGTGTGTGTGTGTGTGTGTGTGTGTGTGTGTGTGTGTGTGTGTGTGTGTGTGTGTGTGTACTTGGCTCCTTGTATTTGTCTCATTATCTCAGATTAATCAGTTTTCTAATCATCCAGCAGAACGATGAGTTTAATGTTTTCTGTCGACAGCAGCCGCCAGCCCTGTGTGTGTGTGTGTGTGTGTATATGTGTGTGTGTGTGCGTGTGTGTCTGTGTGTCTGTCTTTGTGGTGAATAATTGTTCCTAAACCCTCTGATTTAAACAACATTTTGTAAACACGAGTGCGTCGATTGTGTGTAAAATCAGGACACACGAACAAGAAGTGTGTGTGTGTGTGTGTGTATAAGTATCATTTATATATTTTGTGACCTTCGCTTCATTGATCAACCAATCGATGGCGGCTGCTGTAAGGGTGGTGCTTTAATTACACTCATCTTCATGATCAGCGGGATCGTCATGGCGATGAGCAGGTTCACACTGACCCAACAGAACCGTAGAATGTTTTGGTGTTGTGATTTTGTAGTTGTGTGTGTGTGTGCGTGTGTGTGTGCGCGTGCGTGAGTGTGCTCATCTTTTAGTTTGTGTATTTGAATATGTGTATTTGTTGGTGTGTGCACACATGTGAATGTGTGAGTGTGTGTTTGTGCATGCATACATGCCTGTGTGTGCACGTGTGCGTGAGCATGCATAGGTGAGTGTGTGTGTATGTGCGTGCTTGTTTGTGTGTGCGCTTGTGGGTATGTGTGTACGTGTGTGTAAACGTTCATAGGTGTGTATGTGCATGAGTGCTTGTTTGTGTGTGTACACGTGTGTGTACACGTGTGTGTGTGTGTGTGTGTGTGTGTGTGTGTGTGTGTGTGTGTGTGTGTGTGTGTGTGTGTGTGTCGTCATCAGTGTGCTGTAATGTGAAGTGAAGCCTGTTCTGGTCGAAGGGGCGGGGTCACTGACCACTGTATGAGGGATGGGGGATGACAGCACTGTGCTCTCTCATCCATCAGTGTGCTAATTTAATTAGCCTAATTACAGCAACATGAACCCTAAACACACACACACATACACACACACACACACACACACACGCTCATCTTTATAATCCGTGTCAAAGTGCAGACTTTGGATGCTACGTTGGCACTCACTAATGAGCTGTAATGAACACACACACACACACTCAGACACACAATGTTAAAGAACTGCCAAGAAATCACATCAAGTGTGTAAATATTCACACACAAATACACACATGACAGTGTGTAAACAACGCTCACATTGTGTTGTCCGTGTGCACTTGTGTGTGTGTTATTATGAATCTTCAGTCTTATCCAGCCTGTTACACAGCTCCAGCGTCATCGTACTCAGAAAGATAAAAAGTGTTTAGAGTAAACCCCACAGCGAGGTGACGCGTGGTGTTTCTGTGGTACGGACCAGCACTGCTTTTGTATTCTTAGTGCTTTGCATCGATCAAGATTGTCTGACTTTTACACAAAATATTATTATTGCTATTTTCTGTCTTTCGATCTCTCGCTTCCTCCCTCCTTGTGAACTAGACCCTTGAGCTCACCGTGGACCTCACCACGGCCTCAGATTTAGTGGTGCTGATCTTCATCCCTGCTGCTTCACACTTAGCAGTGAACAGAGAAAAACACCTTCCACCAATGGCCGTGCTTACAAAGTTCCCCTCCACACACACCAGCTACATTGCTTCTCTGCATCAGTTAAACACCCCCACAGTCCCGTGCTACATTACTATTGCTGTCTCACGAGAACAACCTGAGACCACAAACAACAACTAGATGGAAATAAAGATAAATTGCTAATATCGGCCCAGCTTGACTTATCGGACGATTCCGATGTTGCTCATGCGTCCTATAGCGCTCCGGGAGTGGACGTCACTCCTCCTGGCATGCAACAGTTCAAATCGAAACGGCGCCATATTGGCAGGCAGAAGCCCGCAGCTGGACTATTTGTTATTGTCAGAAAACTCAAAATGGGAAATATGGTAGATTCCTGTTGTGCCCCAGGATGCAGAACAGACACGGACGACATAAGGAATGAGCCATCTACAGGATTCCCCAAGATCCGAAACGCCGCAAACGTTGGATCATTGTAATAAAACGCGCTAGTGACCGGGCTAAAATGAAGCTGTGGGATCCCGAGAGTAAAGGTTTTCGTTTATGCAGCGACCACTTCATATCAGGTACTTAAACCAACGTTTCCTCAACTGTGTATGGTATTCATTTTAAATGCTTTTATTACGATTCTTAGTGGGCTTCCTAAACTTATTTTGGCGTGGCTTTTTCTGTCTTATTACTCACAGCAACAAGTAAACATCACGTAAAACGTTGCCTCATGATTTCTGCGTGCTGCCGTTTACGTGTTTTATGATCACAGCAATTAACCGGATAAGCTGTATTTAATTTTTAAGCAATGGTTGATCAATTGTCAGATCACACATGAAAAGCACTTTGGATTGCTATTTGACAGATCTTGAGACGCTCCTGCCTGACATATTTATTTTATTCACGGAAAAAAACCAGACTAGTGATTTCTCTTGGCGTTCAGTTTATACATTCAAACAGCACAGCTCTCTGTTTAAACTACTTACATGTAAATCTGTTATTTGTCCATCCGTCCATTTTCATCCGCTTATCCGGCGTCGGGTTGCGGGGGCAGTAGCCTAAGTCGAGAGGCCCAGACTTCCCTCTCCCCAGCCACTTGGGCCAGCTCCTCCGGGGAAATCCCAAGACGTTCCCTGGCCAGGTCTGGTAAGAAGTCCGCTCCGACAGCTTCTGGCGTTTTTAAAGCGTATCCCAGGGGCACGATAAGGGTCAGAGATGTTTAGTCTATTTAATTTCTGACTATATAAAATGATTTCTTCGTTTTTAAAGTGTGAAGTAAACTCAGACGAAGTAAAATCCAAGCCGATCCCGTTCATTTTGTTTACCTTTGTTGCCTGCCAACATGGCGCAACTCTCTGAGAGTCACGTGAAGTCCGGAGCTCTGTAATACACAGGAACAGTGACATCGGTCCAACTTACTGCCAGCAACACAACCCAGACTCACTGTATGGCCCATAACAGAGAGCCATCTTCCTCATAGTCCCCCACAAGGTTGTTGTGACCTGGGGACATGGCCATTAGCCTTTTCCGGGTATGGGCAAATTCTTGTGACCCCTCCAGCACTCTAGCAAGAGTAAAGAGCTGGTCTATGGTTCCACAGCCAGGAGAAAACCCACATTGTCCCTTCTCAACCTGATTTCACACTATCCACCGGACCCTCGTCTCCAGTATGTTGGAGTGGACTTCTCCATGGAGGCTGAGGAGTGTGGTCCCTCTGGTCCCTTTTCTTAACCATCACTGGCACCAGCCCTGATGTCCCTGCAGTGTTGCACAAACGTGTCAACCAAGATCGTCCTACAACTTTCATAGCCCTGAGATAACCAAGATGGACCTCTTCAACCCCCAGAGCTCCTTTACTGCACAGATTATTGATGACAAGATCTGTCAACAAAATAAAGTCAACAACATTGAGGAAAAATCAGTCAGTAACAGTCCGTCGATCAACAACTTTCAGTCAGTCAGCTGTTTTCAAGGTGCCCCAATGGAACCAGTAGTTTATTCTGTGAAACTCATCAATTTTCATTGGAACAGAGGGAATGGGCCTGTTCCCGACCCTGCTGATTCAGTTGACACGTTAGGATAGACTCTATATGCTTTGGTCTGACGCTCCTGGACCACATCTTTGTGTTTGGACACTGTCACTTCAACACTTGTACCCTCCAGGTCTCAGGTGGAACTTCTGGATTAGGACCAAACCAAGTCCCTTTCAGAAGTATGTGGAAGGTTTAAATTAGGGATGTGTCCATATAAAAATGTGGGTCGATATCCAATATTAATATCGCTGATGTAGCTGATAACCAATGTTTACGATATTGCATTATTATTTCATGGTTTGATACTGAATCTACATTTAAAAGTAGAGTTTAAATGTTTTATTGAGGATTTATATGTAAACAGCTACTGTATTTATGTGTATGGTGCAACCTCCGACTGCCAGGTGGCAGAAGTTTTTACCGCATTCATTCTGATGGAACAGCAACATGTTGCGATAACACTAGATGTTTATCTTCTGGCTCTTGGAGAGTACAGACGCTTTTTTCTCCTCTCCCTCCCTCCTTATCCCAAGGCTGTTTGTCCTGTCTTGGGTGCACGGCGCTTTCTGCATTTTTTCTGGAAACTGGAAATTATTAAAAATGGACCTGGTCAGTTGGTCTCTCAACGCGATTGACACAATTTTTTTCAACGATGAAAACAAGAGAAGGGGCTCCCAGATGCCCCTCTGGGACAGAGCCAGCTGGGTATGTCATGGACTCCTGGAAAAAGTGGAACCTGGTATGCCTCTCTCAACTGTCTGTAGAGGATTCTGAAAATGTTTGGATATTTGTCGTTTTGGTGTCGGGATTCCTGCTGTTTGGCCTGAGCGGTTACCTGGTTTACCGGAAAATAAACGAGTTTTCGAGGAATATAGGCTCAATCCCGTAGCTCAGGGATGGATTAGACCACGCTGTGAATGCACAAACTCATATAATTGTTGAGATGAGTTGTAAGCTTGAAACTTTGGCTGAGATTCAGGCTCTGGCACAGAAGGTTGATTCCATCAAGGAGCGAGTAGACGGATCAGCACAGATTGGGATGGATTAGTTATGCCATTATTGGATCTAGAGGGGTTGTAGATCAACAGAACTTAAAGGCAGAGAGGAAATGATCTCTGTCGGTCCCCAAAACAATTTTTATCTGAATCTGGTGCCCTTGAGCCTGTGAGGCTGAAGTAAAAACTCCCCCCTCAGAAGAAATGTGGAATGCTGCAGTCTCTAGGGAAACTCTTTCTTCCTATCCCAGCCTGGGCGGGACTGTGACCGGTGAAGGCCTTGGAACCGTATCTAGTAGGGCCTGCACGACTTTATTTTTTTTTAAGTCGACAGTCAAGTAATGAAAGTCGAGTCGACTTCGACTAGTCGTTGATGACGTCATACGCCGGAAGCGGCCGGGGGGGGGGGGGGGGGGGGGGGTGTCGGTCGGTAGGTTCGCTGGAGTTTTTGACAATTAAAATTGCGCCCACATTTTCTAAGTTAACACATCTCTTTTAACAACGGTAGTTTCTGCATCCTACTTCAGTCATCTCCCCCCTCCTCCTGCGCAGCGGCCGCAATCTCACTGATGCACCTGCAGCCTTTCCTGCTGCTCTAAACATTAAAATAATTATTTCATTTTCTGTTCCTCACTTCTGATTACCTTCAATGGTGTCTGTTTGTTGCAACCAGCAGGTACAAAAACTAACTTGTTTTTATTTGACTATTTTTCTGTCCTGTCTGTTTATTATCTTCCTGCATCTCCTCTCAATCCTAAAGAAAAACTGCTACCTGGGTTCATATATATTCACCTTATGAGTTACCTTTGAACTGCAGTTCTAAAAGATCTACCGACCGCTAAAACAGCGGAGTGCCGCTGCTCGCCAGCCGACTACAACGGGGCAGTTTTTGCTGCGGAGTTCATGCCGGAGCGGAGCGGAGTGGAGATAGTGGAATCTTGGGGGTGCGTCACCGGAGGACAACAGGTGATGCGCCTCGCTCCGCAGCAGCGAAATGCATCAGGCACAAATAACAGACAGAAAACGTGAAAGGAAATGAGCCGACATGAACGATCGCGTGTTTAATTTGTTTTTGAGGTGGTGACACCTGATTTGGCGGTGCTCAGGACGCAATGTCTGGAGCGCACGTCAATGATCAGAGCTTTGCATGCACAAACTGGTTAAGATTAGGATGGGGGTGAGGGGAAGGTTAAATGGCAAAAGAGGGAAAAGGTCACAGTTTGGTTAAATGTCCGTTTTACCGCCGGTGTCAGTACCGCACAGCGCGTCGCCTCCGCCTCGATCCAGACGCGCAGGGGCTCATCACCTGCTGTCTTTTCCGAGGACTGCATCTTGTCAGTCATTATCACGTGACAGCGACTAGTTGATGACAGGCATAAAAAGTCACTACAGAGCCGTGAAGTCGACTAGTTCGTACAACCCCTAGTATCTAGGAGTCAATGTGCCCTCCAACCCATTATCTCCCTCCCCAGTCCAAACGGAGGTGATGAGCGCTGCCCCATGCGGCTGCACGCACTGAAGTGAGGAGAGTCCCAACCCTACCTCCCCACCTAGTGGACACTTATGTTGTGTAATGTCTGAAGTCTGTGAGCATATCTGTCTGAGGTGTTTTTTTGCATAGCAAAGCTGCCCTCTCTGTGGAGGGTAACTCTGAAGTGCCTTTTTTCCCCTCCCCGTGACTCTATCCTCATACAAACCCTCTTGATCTATTACGGTAGCGTGACTTGGGTTGTGAACGACCACAGTCACCAATTCCTGTCATGTGTCTATGTATGTATGTCTGATCTCAGAATTGTGTGTACTGAAACTCTTAATTTCCCTCTGAGATTAATAAAGTATTTTTGAATTTGAATTTGAGTGAGTCTGGGAGGCATCTGGCCTGAGTGTTACAATTAAGTTCAGTCCGACAAACCGCAAACATCTCTGGCTTTTAGTAACGCGATACATCGAATCGTCTCCCCTGTAATGTGATAAATGTATTGCCAGGTTCTTGCCGTCACACACCCCTACATATAAGAATAGTATATAAATGTATTGTTATTTTATACACACACACGCCTCTGGGATGATTGCTGTCACTGTCATGTGACCAAACCGTGATTAGATCTCTGCTGCGGAGTGTTAAAGTTGTTGTGTGTTTTCTGCAGTTGCCCAGAAGATCGTTACCATCAGGAAGAAGCAGCAGCTCTCCATCGGACCTTGCAAGTCACTCCCAAACTCCCCGAGTCACTCGTCTGTCTGCTCCACACAAGTCTCTGCTGTCCATGTCAGCCAGGTCAGAGGTTACACACACTTATGATTAAAACCACCAGGTCACCCTGCAGTCCTCACCAGGGTCCTCACTATTTTGTCCTGAGCATTCAGCCCTAACTATCAGGTCCTTTCTTCAAGTGAGACATCTCTCCTCTGGTGGGACATGTCTCCCTGTGGGAGTCATGTCCCCCTTTGACGGTTCTTTCTGTCTTCTATGTTCTTAAACAGACCAGTAATGGTGGTGGAGGTGGAGGTGGAGGTGGTGGTGGGGGTGGGGGTCTCAGTGATTTCTCATCCTCGGTTCCGTCCACACCCAGCACTAGTCAGAAGGAGCTCCGGATGGACGTCCTCCAAAGCTCCAACACCCCAACTCCGGTCCGGAAGCAGTCCAAACGGCGCTCTAACCTCTTCACGGTGAGTCCTCAAAGACAGCAGGACACAGAAGGACCAACCAAAGGAGGGACAAGGACATTTTAAAACATTTGTGTTGGAGAGCAAAGTCTGGATTTTATTGTGTTTCAATGTGGTTCTAGTTGAGACTTGAGCGGAACCATCATAGCTGTCTGGGTCCGGTTACGCTCTGAGGTTCTGACAGGGTGTGTCTTTTCTCTGGTCCACAGTCCAGAAAGACCAGCGACCCAGACAAAGACAAGAAAGGTCTGGAGACTCGATCCGACAGCATCGGCAGTGGACGGGCCATCCCGATCAAACAGGTGAGTGGTTCTGAGGGTCGGGTCCATCTGGGTCCCCCGTCTTTCCTTCTCCCCATTTCTCTGTCTCCCTTTTTTCGCACCTCCTCATCTTTGTCCTCCCCTCTTCAGCCTCCCCCCTCCCTTCATCTCCCCCTTCACCCTCCCTCTATCCATGTGTCCCCTATGTTTTCTCTGTGGCTCCGCCTCCCACTGTGTCTGATATGTGAGCCGACCAATTAGAGGTCTAGAAAATGGGGGTGCAGGATTTTGTCCTCGTTGAAGAGACAGATCTGAAGACCAGAGGAGATCCTTAAGCAGTTCTCAGAGACTTCAAACACCTCCCACCCCCTATAGTTTCCGGTTTGATTCCACGTCAGGCAGGGACTCTTTTAGTCCCCGATCAGAACCAGATCCAGATGGACCATAACGAGCTTCGGTTCTCAGGTTTAGTGTTGGGCGAGGTTTCTGGACCCGGGTGTGCTGGTTAACCTAGTCAGGAACTTCTCTTTTTATTTAAAATTCTGAGGTGAAAACCTGTTCAGATCTGGAGATCGCACCACGTTTACCTCTGGAACCTTTGGACTTGGACCTAAAGATGTCCTCTGGTGTGAGGACAACCAGAAACAAGAGGGTTTCATGAATGGTGCTCTAGGACATACTCTCGTCCTGACCAAGGTTCTTCCCTCATCAACATGTTCTGGTCTGGTTCTGGTTCGGCTCAGTTTGAGGTCTGAAAACAGCCAAGACTTTAGTTTCATCAAGAAGCAAATCCTGCAGCTGGTGGTTGTCTCAGCGTCTAAACAACGTTATTATAAATCTGAAGAGTTATTAAACACAAAGTTCACCTGAAATAATAGTCTGCCAATCTGTGTGTGTGTGTGTGTGTGTGTGTGTGTGTGTGTGTGTGTGTGTGTGTGTGTGTGTGTGTGTGTGATTTTAATGAGTGTGGCGCTCTCCTAACAAAGGCGTTCCTCTGTTAACAAAAGGCGAAGTGAAGCACCGACACCTCGAGATGTCGAGAGCAGCTCTAATGAGATCAGAACCAGCAGAGCGGGTTCACACACACACACACACACACACTCACACATGGAACAACAGAGATCTGAGACCCTGAGTGAGATCTGAGGTTATCTGAAGAACAGAACCCACAGAACCGCTGGCCCTGTCTAAGAGCCGGTGTTCTAACGTTCCTACAGAAACGCGGCGCTCCGCCCGTCGGTCGGTGCTCCTCCATAGAAAATAGCTGCTGTGAATTAGTTGTAAAGAAAAGGTGAACATGGTGAACGTAGTCCTCAGCTCACTGCTGGGTGGACTGGTTTCACACGGCACTTTGAAACGCTTTAGAAAAATCTTAAAGTGAACATAGCTTTTTTATACTATTGAATGCTAGAACACCTTAAATAGGCACCTTGTGCTGATGCACCAAACTGCATGTAAGATTAGAGTGTAGTAAATGTTTTCAAGGGTTCTATTAGAACAGAAGATTGTTGCACCATAGGAACAATATTTCTGATCAAAATAACACACTGTTGCAGAAATGGTGTCCGTCGTCCTGCCAGGCTCAGGCAGGAGGATGTGCACGAGCCCCTTTGGGGCTGGGTTGGTCTTCAGGTTCCCTCTGGATGCTTTGGGGCAGCTGCTTTTCCATTTATGAATAAGTGGAAAATCTGTTCAGCAGCACAAATAACACATATAACACTGGCACAAAATCAATAGAAGTTTTAGTTAAAACAAGTTTTGTCGCAGATCTGTCCAGGGCATGTCCTCAGAGCTGGACCGGACTCTTTCCACACGTCTTTAGAGGATTTCTGTTTTTACCCTAAAGCAGGAGTGGGGAACCCTGGTCCCCGAGGGCCGGTATCCTGCATGTCTTTGCTCCAACACTTCTGATTCAGTGGTTGATTCACCTGTTCAACAGCTCATCAGGCTCTGCAGAAGCCTGTTAATCACCTGCTGAATAAAATCAGGTGTGTTGAAGCAGGGTTAAAACTAGGGCAGCACGATATTAGGAAAACCTGCAGTACGCGATAACAGTGATTAATATTGTGATGACGATATGACTTGCGATAAATAAAAACTTAACTCAGGAACAAAAGAAAATCAAAAACAAAGACACTTAAAAAATGGCTAAACTAAATCATAAAAATGAGAAAAGCTAAAGATGTGAGGAAAGGGAAAAAGAAAATGAACAAGAAAAGACAATCAGTGAATCCCAGGAAAAGCAGAATCAGCAGAAAGAGCAGAACAAAGCTAACTCAGGTTTTTGCTAACCATCAAAATTAAGTGCCGTCCGCCTCGGGGGCGGGCATCTAACTTATGAGAACCCACCCAATTGGTCAAATGGGTGAAGAGCTCTATTTGATTTGTTAAAAAACATCTGCTTGACAGAAGGCATTATGTGTAGCAAACATTTAAGCTGACCATTCATTGCGATATTTATCTGTTCTTTGGGATATGCGTATTACGCTTGCTGATATTGCGATAACAATATATTTGCGATATATTGTGCAGCCCTAGTTAAAACTAAAATATGCTGGATAGTGTCCCTCGATGGACCAGGGTTCCCCACCCTTACCCTAAAGGCCTTTTCAGTTCTGGGACGAGTGGAAGGTTGCTGGAGCAGCTCCCATCCCAGATAAACCAACAACAATAAGGACTGGTTAACTGGTCACTTACCAACCCGCTGCAAAACAAAGTAAACTCCAAGGATTGCTGATGTTTTTCACAAGGTTCAGTGCTTTGCTGATGTACGTGTACTAATACACGTAAACTCACATGCACATACTCCCCGGTAGGCTGGAGCAGCAGTCACTGCTTTACCAACAGTTTGGCTTTTCTCACTCCAGTACTTCCATATATAAAATAATAATACTGATAGACCATTGGGTGTTATTCAAACACTGTCTACAGTCCACCACCATGAAAGACAGAGTCGTGAAAGATGTGTCTTCTCTTTGAGAAACCTTCACTCTTAGAAGAGAAGTTCTTTCTCAATTGGAAATGATATTGATTTATTGGCCTTTACATCTAAAGACATAAGACAGATATTTCATACTCTAGTGTCGGAGATACTCACCCTTCAGCAGGAATTAGTGTCTCTGGATATTTAGCCACGGAGACTTGTCCCTCCCATTAGGGTAGCTGGACTGCTCCTTAAAGCGATCCTAGAATTTAAAACTACATTTACCTTGTTGTTGAATAACAGCAGCTTGGGGTGTCAAAAGTCGGTGCCCTCTCTGAGCTGCTTTCTATGGAAATCAGTAATGTTGTAATGGCCACTGATAAACATTTCATTCTGACAAAAGCTGGTTTAACAGGTCATAAGCATAGAGACGCCGCCTTACAGCTGCATGTCCCAACCCACTTCAGCGTTGGCAATGTCTAAACTTTTTTCACCTTAATGCTAGCCACAGAACAAGGCTAGCCTGCACTACTGCTAATGCTAGCACAAGTTTTTACTAGTGCTAGCCCAAGCTACTGCTAATATTCTTGTTGGAGGATGTACTGGAATTATCCAGACAATGAATGCCAAACAGATCCACATCTTGTAAATGGCCTATATTTGATATAGAGCCTTCTAGAGTCCTGGAACCCCCCAAGGCGCTTTAAAACACAACCAGTCATTCACCCATTCACACACACATTCATACACTGGTGGGGATGAGCTACAATGCAGCTACAGCTGCCCTGGGGCGCACTGACAGAGGCGAGGCTGCCGAGCATGGGCGCTACCAGTCCCTCCGACCACCACCAGCAGGCAACATGGGTTAAGTGTCTTGCCCAAGGACACAGCGACAGACTGAGCGGGGCTCGAACCTGCAACCTTCCGATTACGGGGCGAGCACTTAACTCGCTGAGCAATAACTTTGTTCATTCTTTCTTCATACCAAAACTCATTACTAGTTCTGGTAAACTGGACCCTGGTTCTGTTGGATCGGACCCTGGTTCTGTTAGATCGGACCCTGGTTCTGTTGGTTCGGACCCTGGTTCTGTTAAGTCGGATCCTGGTTTTGTTAAATTGGACTCTGGTTCTGTTAAGCTGGACCCTGGTTCTTTTGGATCGGACCCTGGTTCTGTTGGATCAGACCTTGGTTCTGTTAAATTGGACTCTGGTTCTGTTAGATCGGACCCTGGTTCTGTTGGTTCGGACCCTGGTTCTGTTAAGTTGGATCCTGGTTTTGTTAAATTGGACTCTGGTTCTGTTAAGCTGGACCCTGGTTCTTTTGGATCGGACCCTGGTTCTGTTGGATCAGACCTTGGTTCTGTTAAATTGGACCCTGGTTCTTTTGGATCGGACCCTGGTTCTGTTGGATCAGACCTTGGTTCTGTTAAATTAGACTCTGGTTCTGTTGGATCAGACCTTGGTTCTGTTAAATTGGACTCTGGTTCTGTTGGATCGGACCCTGGTTCTGTTGGATTGGACCCTGGTTCTGTTAAGTCGGACTCTGATTCTGTTGGATCGGACCTTGGTTCTGTTTAGTCGGACTCTGGTTCTGTTGGATTGGACCCTGGTTCTGTTTAGTCGGGCTCTAGTTCTGTTGGATCGGACTCTGGTTCTGTTAAATCAGACTCTGGCTCTGTTGGATCGGACTCTGGTTCTGTTTAACTGGACTCTGGTTCTGTTAAATCAGACTCTGGCTCTGTTGGATCGGACTCTGGTTCTGTTTAACTGGACTCTGGTTCTGTTGGATCGGACCCTGGTTCTGCCCGGCTTTCCCCCAGAAGCAGCAGCTGTAATTTCACGCTCTGCGGTTAAACATGTGTAATAATCTGCTTCATTTAGCAGCCAAAGACTTTAATGAAATTAACTGCCGTCCTAATTAAGACGGTGAATATTAAAGACCTGCTATGGAGGCCTTAACGAGGCCCTAACGAGGCCTTAACGAGGCCGACACCATCCGCCTTCCGCCCGACTGGAGGAATATCATTCCCTGAGAAGGGTTGTCAGCCTCGGAGCCGTTTCTGCCCTGATTACATTTCTGTGTTGAACACTAACCTCTGAAATGAGCTGGAGCTCGTTTCTGGTCGGAAGAATAATTAAAACGGGTCGCCGGCGTCAATCAGAACCGCTCTCAGGTGGTGCTCGTTAAGACTTGGCTCACCTCCGTGGAGGTGGTGCTCTGAGCTCTCCGGAGGCGTCTTGCTGCTCGTTTTGTTGTGTTTTCGGCGGTGAGGAAGAGGAGCCACTAATGAATTGAGAGTGCTGAAGTAAGGTTTGGATAATTGAGTTTCTAATTAATTACCCAGAACTCTCATCAGATAAATCAGCACCCTCTTCTTCTGTGGTTTTATTTGATGTGGTCCACATCCTATTCCCCCGGGCTCGCCCTTTGCCGTCCTCGCCTCATCAGCAGCGACCTTGTCGCTCTGCAGCTGCTCGTGTTTTCATGTTTCACTTGTTTCCCTCCAGGTGAAGAGCCGATTCCTTCATCCTCCGCCATCGGGTCAAAGGTGTCATGGAGAGACGCTCCGATCGGAGCGCTTCCTGTTAGGAATCGCCGCCACGTATGATGTTTCTGTTCCAACTCATGAAAGGGTTTCTGGGTTCTGATGTTTCCTCTGATGGAACCGGTTCTGGAAAAGGACAGAGTGGTGGAGGGAAGTTGTTAAACTCCCCCCCCCCCCCCCCCCCCCCTTCATCCTCCATCTTGCCGATCAGAGAGAACAAGCCCAATCAGCTCCTCACACTCCTGGGCTGTCAGAGTGGATGATGGATGATCCTGGATCGGCATTCCAACCGGATCAGATGGTCACCTCTGTCCGATAGGACCCCCCCCTCCCATGGCGGCGGTGTTGGAGGGTGACACCTCTAATCCTCCTCCTGAGCTGAGGAGACGTGGACGAACAAAGGGACCGTGGACCTTTTGAGGTCTGAGGGTTTGTCCCTGTTTTCTCTGAACGATCTCATCTTAGATCTGCTGTCATGGTCATCAGTGGTCCCCGGAGGGTCCATTGTCTGAGCGGGGGCGGGGTAGGGGGGGTGACTGAGTGATTAGAACATAGATTGCTGTTGGGGTGGGGGGTGGGGGGGATCTCAAATAAATTCCCCTTTATCTGGTCCACAAAAAAGGACTTTAATAGTCTCCACATCACTTTTAGCTCCAATAGAAATCTGAGTCTGGATCCTGGAGCCCAGTCCTCCTGCAGCTGGACTGATGTGGGACACGTGACGTCTGTGGTCTTTAATCATGGGCCTCAGGTCCAGACCCAAGAGCTCGTTCTGATGCACCGCCTAACGAATGACTTCATCTGTCACCCCCCCCAAGCCAGCGACCTTTTCCTATGTGCCGCGGTAATCCCTCACCGGGCGTGTCTCTGTCCCGGTTGTCCCCCTTAAAACCCACAGACCTCCATTATGCCTCAAGTTGTTGTACATGTGTAACGAATGAGTCCTTCTGGTCCCCTGGAGCAACAGACCTTTTCCTGAGCAGTCCTTCACTGGGGCGCCATGGGGGGGGGGGGGGGGGGAGACACCCCACCCCCGCCTACCCCGCCATTCTGCAGTGTGATGCAGTGGATGTAAGGGATGACGACTATCAGGACCCTGCTGTTCCAGGCCCAACCCCGACCCCCGGTCCACTCAGCGAATGGGCATCAGATCAAACCCCGAAGAGCTTCTGAGTTCTGGTTCTGGTGTGGTCTGCCCGTTCTGGTTCTGGGTCCGTCCAGTCTCATTGGTTTTGGATGAAATCCTGCCGGACTGAGGAGACCTGGATAGTTCTGGTTCTGGACCCGGCAGGATGCTCGTTAGGTGGTATTTGGCGCCGCGGGGAAACCGTGTGGTTGTAAGGCTCACAGAGATGCCCCCCCCACCATGGTGAGTTCAGAGCCGGTGATCAGAGCGGGACGTTTCAGCTCCGTTGCTGGTTTATCAGTGCAGCTTTTATTGTGTCAGCCATCAGACTCTGGATGGAGATGTTTCAGCTGCTCGCCTCGTCCTCCTCCCGCCGTGGCTCTGGAACATTCCTCCGTGGAGTTCTGTCGCTGCCAATTACACCAAATGTTCGGTCTGTGTTGGCGGGGGGGTCACCCCGGGCCGCCGCTCCGCTCCAACACCACCCACCGCTTTAATGAAAGCTGAGCGTTAGGGGCGGCGGTGAGCAGGCTTCTGTCCATCAGCCCCCCCTCCCCCCCTTCACGACTGGACTCTATTAATATCCTGTGTCGGAGTGTTAATGTTGTAGAGGTCCAGTGAAGTGACACGCGTGGCAGCACGGCTGTAATTGCTAATCAGCGGACAGTTTTATCCTCCGCTGCCGCCTCCCCCCGGCCTCCCGCTCGCCTCCTTTTTGACCTTCCTGCTCTCTTCCCCGTACCTAATGAGTGCTGCTCAAATGAAGTGTGGGCGGCGAACGTGCGCTGGTCACTCGGCCGCGGCTGATGTGCGTAGGAGAGAGAAATGAAGATTCAGACAATTAAATAAGTGCTGATTTCCCACATTTCCTCCCGCAGAGCTCCTCTCTGCTCCCCTCAGCTCGGTGGAACTTTGGGATGATAAAATGTTGTTTTGATTGGAGATGAGCTGGAGCTTCTTACGTCTTCAGGCTGTAGCCTCGTTATCTTCACTTCACAGACTCTGTGGTCACTAAGCTCCAGAGACGAGATGTTGGATGGATGCACAATTAGGAGGCAGTGAGTGGGTCTGTGGAGCTGGAGCACAACAAAACGACCTGTTTACACTCCTGTGGGTGAGAACAGCAGCCACGAGCCTTCACAAAGATAAACAACTAAATGTATCTGATGAGATCAAAGGTGTGAGACTCAGTTCCACCGGTCTCTGAACACCTCTGATTCAGGTCATGCCCACACTTGTGTCTTAACAAACTTTAGGGAGCAGAACGTGAAACCATTAGCGCCATGAATGAAATCAAGCCTTCTTCCCTGGGTCTACCTTGATCCAGGGAGGAGGAGCTCCAGGTTCTGGGCCTGGACACGGTTTGTGCACACAGCTGGATGAGTCCAGGTTCTGGTATTTGTTCTGAACACGTCTTGTTTAATGCAGGGCATGCTGATGAAACGGAGCGGGAAGTCGCTCAACAAAGAGTGGAAGAAGAAGTATGTGACGCTGTGTGATAACGGACTGCTCACCTACCACCCCAGCCTACACGTGAGTCACGCACACACACACACACACACACACACACACACACACACACACACACACACACACACACACACTTGTTAAAGACACACGCAGTGATTGTGTATTCATCATCTCATCATCGGTTTGCCCACGTCGGTGCTAATGATGATGAGAATCTCAGCTGTAATGGTTCTGTTAATTGCCGCAGAGCTCTACCCTGTTGGCTCAGTCTTCTGCTGCAGCTTTATTACCAAACAAACACACACACACACACACACACACACACACACACACACACACACACACACACACACACACACACACACACACACACACACACACACACACACACACACACACTGATAGTGCCCAGTTTTTCTCTGAAGTCCTTGAACCTGTCTTATGTGATGCATGTTTTTATCGTGTAAATCAGACATCAGCGTGTCTGTGAGTGACCTGCTAACAGGAGGAAACCTCCAACGGATTAGCCTGACAAAAACGGACTCAGACATGGTGTTTTACCCAGTTTTAGAGCAGGTTTTTCCACATTTGTGCTGATCAGATTTTAGACCACCTTGCCCTGGTTTACACCTGGTGCTCGAACCAGGTATTTACCTAGACCTTGGTTTCTAACGCGCTTTTGGAGCGAGGTTTGGACCTTTATTTATGACCAGGCCCTAGACCTGATTCTCGACTAGATTCCATGACCTGTTTTAGACCTTCTCTTAGACCTGATTTAGGACCCGACTACAGACCTTGCCACAGTCTGTTGGAGTTAGTTTCTCGTTCTCAGCAGTTTTTTATGCAGCTGTAACTCAAAAAAATTGAATATCGTAAAAATCCAAATTCAGAATCTCAAGAAATTAGAATATTGTGAAGAAGTTCTATATTTTAGACTCAACGTGTAAAATTCTTAACAGCTAATGAATCCAAAGCACCCACAAGGGGTTCCTGAGCTTTTAGTTGGTCTCTCAGTTTAAGAGGAATTACTGAAATAAATGGACTTTGCACCATTTTCAAAATTTCGAGTTTCACCCGTAAATAATTATTGTGGTGTTTTCAGGAGAACCGGACATGGTGATGTAACTCATCAGTGACCGTTACAGTGGTCCTGTTGGTCTGTCGGAATTCTGATTCGGATCCAACAGGAAGTTATACCTTGTTTCCCACATGTTGGAAGAACAAATCTGAACCTCTAAACAGTTTGACCCCATCTCAGCAGTATGTTTGAGCAAGCCCCTTCTGCAGCTTTGGGTTGAGGGTTTGAATTCCCATGGATTTGTTTCTCCTCTTTAGCTTGCCTGTCAGCCATTAGAGCAGCTGATGCAGTAAATTAGTCTTAAAACTCATCAGTTAACACATCAACACGCTCTGGTGTACAAACACTCAAACGCCCTGCAGCAACACAGACCAGGTCCTCCTGAGCGCCCCCCATCTGCTGCTCCTACCTCAATTAGCCTGTTAGCACACGCTAATCGAATGAAATCCAATCAGCAATGCTAATTACCCAACTATGTGCACAGAAATCACATTAATGCCGCTAATTAAAGAGATGGCAGTGGCTGGCAGCAAACTGGGACAAAATCTGGTCTATAAGAGAAAAGTGTAAGAAGAGATGAGAGCAAGTCATGTCTGCTGGTAGTGTTGGTAAATCAGGACTTCATAAGACCCACAACTGGTTGTAGACCGATTAATGTTCCGGGCTGTTGTCGGACTGGTTCTGGGCTGTGTTCGGACTGGTTCTTGACTGTGTTCGGACTGGTTCTGGGCTCTCGTCAGACAGGTTCCGGGCTGTTGTCGGACTGGTTCTGGGCTGTGTTCGAACTGGTTCTGGGCTGTTGTCGGACTGGTTCTTGACTGTGTTCGGACTGGTTCTTGACTGTGTTCGGACTGGTTCTGGGCTCTCGTCAGACAGGTTCCGGGCTGTTGTCGGACTGGTTCTTGACTGTGTTCGGACTGGTTCTGGGCTGTTGTCGGACTGGTTCTTGACTGTTTTTGGACTGGTTCTTGACTGTGTTCGGACTGGTTCTGGGCTCTCGTCAGACAGGTTCCGGGCTGTTGTCGGACTGGTTCTTGACTGTGTTTGGACTGGTTCTGGGCTGTGTTCGGACTGGTTCTGGGCTGTGTTCGGACTGGTTCTTGACTGTTTTTGGACTGGTTCTTGACTGTGTTCGGACTGGTTCTGGGCTCTCGTCAGACAGGTTCCGGGCTGTTGTCGGACTGGTTCTTGACTGTGTTTGGACTGGTTCTGGGCTGTGTTCGGACTGGTTCTGGGCTGTGTTCGGACTGGTTCTGGGCTCTCGTCAGACAGGTTCTGGGCTGTTGTCGAACTGGTTCTGGGCTATGTTCGGACTGGTTCTGGGCGGTTGACGAACTGGTTCTGGGCTGTGTTCGGACTGGTTCTGGGCGGTTGACGAACTGGTTCTGGGCTGTGTTCGGACTGGTTCTGGGCGGTTGACGAACTGGTTCTTGACTGTGTTCGGACTGGTTCTGGGCGGTTATCAGACTGATTTTTCACCTGTTTAACAAGCTGATAACTTTTCTCTAATAAATCTCATTTGGTCTCATGAAGCATCAGAAGCCGTTTGATGTCCAGCTGCGGTTCTTCTGCTGTTTCTCTAGACTTCCATCGGAGGTGCTTGGGCTTTATGGATTCTGTTTTTGCTTCATGTCAGCAGGATCTAGCTGTCTGTTCATATTGCATTTTTCACACTGAGACCACAGTTTATGCATCAATTTGCTCCGGCACTACTGAGACAGCCATAAACACACTTTATATCTCCAGCACTTAGAGCTGACAAGGATGAACACACACACACACACACACACACACACACACACACACACACACACACACACACACACATGCCACAGAACCACCTGCTGGCAGTGTGTTTGGTCGATACTCATCCATCCTGGACACCTCTGACGATTGGGATGATGATGAAAGCTCTCTGATGCAAATGGAGACTCAATTACTGTGGTCAATCTGTCGGAGTGTGTGTATGTGTGTGTCTGTGTGTGCGTGCGTGTGTGTGCGCATGTGTGTGTGTGTGTGTGTGTGTGTGTGTGCCCAGCGGGCCCCCAGCTCGAGGGCTCTCCAGTGGCTTGTTAAGACGCCGTCGAGAGCACTTGGCTTTGAATTGGCCTTTTGTCAGGCGAGCTGCCAGAAGGAGGCGGGAAACACTCACATACTGAGCGTGCACTTGTGTGTGTTTGTGTGTGTGTTAATCTACACTTTAGAGCCATTTAAGTGTACCCAGTAATCCTCCACCCAGTTTTTCCTGACTCGCTATTATTTACAGCTTAAGTTCCTGCAGGTCACAAGGTTCTGTTGGGTCGAGGTTTGATCTATCTAAGCCTCCTTGGTTCAGATCATTTGAGCACCATCTGTGTAGATTTAGTCTTTTTTGAGATTATTCGATTTAAACGTAAACCAGTTTTTAGAGATACTATCTGTGCTTCCACTACCAGAGCTTCAGGGTAGACTTACAGGAACTTCCCAACATGTGCGTGTCTCTACTTGACTGGGCTGGCGAAACGGCCGTTTTCCGGGCCATTTTTTTAGAAAACTTCTGCATACCTGCTCAGGGGTAGGTACTCCTAACGGCCTGGTGGAGTAGCTGAGCGGAACATCTGGTTAACTCACACTGACTGGTAGTAATTCAGTAGGAAGTGACATCAGCAGACGCCGTCCAAAACAACCGGTACATTTAGAAGAGTTGCTGGTGAAGCAACTCCTGAGTCCTGACCATCGACATAAATATACTGGACATCTCCTTTCCATAGGCTCCAATATCACGTTTTTGAGGCCAAGTGGGAGATGGCCACCACCGCCATTTTGACCGTGTCACAGGTTCCGTCAAGCCCAGACAATTCCATAAAAGGGAAGAGAGGAGGAGCTGAGGGTGGGGCTGTAAGGCTGGGATCAACTGAAGACACCCGGTCGAACTAGCTACAAGCTAATCTGAAGCTAACCCTGGCTAACCCAAAGCTAACGCGGAGGTGGGAGCTAAGCTAACGGAGGTAGCTACCTAGCTACAACCAGAGTTAACTGTGCACAACACCAGAGCTTCTGAGTCAGAGATACGCCGGGCTGACCGCTGGGTAAAACCGGGTGGAACACAGAGGTCTCCGAGACCTCCACAAGCCGGCAGCCACACAGCAGACAAGCGCCGCTGCGTTCTGAGATGCGCAGAGCTGCCGCTGGGGAGAACCGGGTGGAAAGGTTTCCATCCCAGAGCTCCACAAGCCGGCAGCCCGCACAGCAGACAGAAGCCGCGATCAGACAGAGATGCGCCGGGCTGCGGGGAGAAACGGGGGGGAAAACTTCGGTCTCCCGAGAGCTCCACAAGCCGATAGTTGGAACCCAGCTCCACCAACATGTTATATTTCAACCCATTTTCTAAAGTGCAGCATTATGTTAAATGCACTGGGTTTTATCCTATTACATTTAAATTTCATGGTTAAACAGTACATGTTAACATCTAAGCTCAGCTCGGCAGTGACCTAAAATACATAAATATAATTTTACTTACCGAAAAAAATTAAGTGGAGACTCCTTGGACGCTCTATTAGTGCAATTAATGCCACAGCAAGTCATTTTGTCCAACAATTGCACAAATAATATCCAAAAAAGAATACACACACAGAGACTCAAAATGCCGGAGCAGTTTTCAGGCCAGACCGAGGCTCTACTGAGGCCTTTCCCCGGAGCTAGCTCTGTGGTCACGTGGGTCTGATGCTCATTAATTATACAGAATTTTAGGCTTTTAATACACTTAAACAGAAGAGTGAGAAAAAAATTCACCCCCCTCAGAGTTGTCATGAGTGTAAACTAGATCATTTAAACCAAAAACATGTTTTGGTACCAGGCTGTAAACATGTTTATTTCTGCTGTGAAATTGGTATTTTTAACATGGGAGTCAATGAGGATTTGCTCTCTTCTGACACCAGCCCCCAGTGGATGAGGGTGGAACTGCAATTTATTTCATTTCCGGGTTTGACTCAATTTTAGAGCTGCATTGTGGGGGCTTGGTCCTGACACCTGAAAACATGGCGGAATTCTCCCACAACGACTTCATTAACGGCGCTTAGTTGTCTTACAGAGCGCTGTAAAAAAACAGCACTTCTTCTGGTCATTGAACACCACATATTACATCACACAGCTGCCCTCATCCTCTGAATGGATTAAATTATGATATACTTCGATAGGATAAATGCTTTTAAAATGATTAATGTTACTCTGGATGCTTTTTGACTCTGATCAGTGACATCACTCACTGCCAAAGCGGTCGTGATGTGCTGACGTCTGTGCAAAGTTCTGAAAGGGCTAAACTTGAATGGAGACACAACAGCTGAGAGGACTGAGACATCCCATCTCCTGATCAAGTTCTCTGACCTTGGAGTTCTGGTAATGGAAACACAGCTACTGATGATGATCTAGTTCTGTGTTAGGACCTTCTTCAGCTCTTCAGCTAGTTTGTGTTTGTACCACCCAGTAGAACCCTGTAGGCCTCTGTAGAACTGTATGAAACCCAGTAGAACCCTTTCAAACCCTGTAGAACCCACACAGGATTCTGTGAAAGCCAGACAGCGCCTGCCTTCAAACGTCTTTGATAATTGTCAAATCTATTAGGACCTTTTAAGCCTCTGTAGAGTGCCTTAGAAAGCTGTTGGTGAAGCACGTTATTCTGTTTTGTGGATGGTACTCAGCGCAGAGGGACCTTTTCAGGGCCCTAGGTGCTGCGGTGGAACAGGTGTTTAGGTTGAACACGTTGTTGAACCAGGTAGACTGGCCTAAGATGAAGGTTCTGTTGGTTTTTTTGCGTGACATCAGTGTGTATGACAGGCTGTTAGTCTGCCTACCTAAAGAAGAAGAAGTTGTTATTCCCTGTAGGAACACATAGGGCCCAATAAGACCATATTAAATACAGTACCTGGTATAATGCTAGGAGATTCATTAGCACCTCTTGGAACCCCCTAAAACAAAGTCATAGAAGGCTTTACAGAACTCTGTTGACCTTGTAGAATATTTTCAAATCCAGTATAACCATTTGAAATCTTTGTAGAGCCTGTCAGACCCTCTAGAGCCTTTTAGAACAAAGTAGAACTTTGTTGGCCCTTGTGGTATCATTTCTGATTAAAACTCCATAGTATCATGTAGGTCCATGTAGAGCCTGGTAGAAACATTCATTTGAACCTTGTGTGATCCTGTAGAACCTTGGAGGAACCTTTAGCTCAAACTTGTAGGACCCTGTCGGAACAAACCGTTTTAGAAGCCTTTATCCCCATCTCCCTTCCCCGAGGGCCAGTATCCAGCATGTTTTAGTTGTTTCACTAATCCAACATTACACTGTTCAGCAGCTCATCTGCCGTATTTTTTGGACTATAAATCGCACTTTTTTTTCATAGTCTGGCTGGTCCTGCGACTTATACTCCGGAGCGACTTGTACACCAAATTATGTATACCGCGCTGCTGCGGACCGGCTCCTGTCCAGGTTTCAGCTCCTCTGCCCCACCATCACCTGCTGCAGCCTGTGGCGAGCTGCTGCAGGCCAGGCAGCTCCGGCCCAGGAATGAGCGCCCCTGTCCCGCTGGGAGGATTTCAAACACCACCATCACCTGCTGCAGCCTGGGACAGGGTGCTGCGGGCCGAGTCCGGCCCAGGAATGAGCTCTCCCCATCCGCTGGGAGAATTTGAAACACCGCCATCCTCTGCTGGAGTCCGTAGCGCACTGCTGCTCCCTGGTTGTGTGTTCTGTTGTTATTACCGGTACTTCTCTTGCAATGTGAAATGCTTGGTCTCAGATTTTGTAAGAAAAATAATAAAATTTCCCCCTAAAATGCAACTTATAGTCCAGTGCGACTTATATATGTTTTTTTCTTCTTCATTATACATTTTATGGCTGGACCGACTTATACTCTGGAAAATATGGTAGGTCTGCAAAACCCTGTTAACCTAATGCTGATCAAAATCAGGTGTGTTGAAGCAAGAGAAATGGTAAAGCTCGCCCGATACCAACATTCTGGGAAGGGTCACTGCTATAGAAACTAGTAGAAGTTCAAGTAGAGGGTCAAGTTCTAATGCATGACCCACAGCTGTGTGTATGTAGAACACATCGTTTGAACCTGCATAAAACCCGGTTCTCTGGTTTCTTCCCAGGACTATATGCAGAACGTTCATGGGAAGGAGATTGACCTGCTCAGAACAACCGTTAAGGTGCCGGGTAAGAGACCGCCGCGTGCAGCAGGGTCGGGCCCCAGCACCAACGGACTAACAAAGGACATGAGCAGCCTTCAGCTGGGACAGGGCTCAGGTTGGTTCTGATACAAACTCATTCAGCATGGTCACAAATGTTATCTTACCTTTTCTGCCTTAATTCTCAACGTAACTCCCCTACGTTACAGTATAGATGTGTAGTATCAGCTAATTAGTGGTGGTTTGTTTTATTTATTTATTTTTTTGGGACAACAGGTCCGTCACCTTAACTTTTCCTAACAAGAGCAGAGCCAGACTCTAAACAGAAAATGTAAATCAACTCCTTAAAAGAGATTTGCAAACACAAACTAACAGAACATCTGTGACAATAAGCAGCCCGGCTCTGGCTTCGCTTCTTGTTCAGCTGCTCCAAGCAAGAAGTGCTGTTATTTTATCAATTTTGATCTAAAGTTGACCAAATATACAAATAACTGGTCAGTGGATCAACATGCAGTGGTTCTGCTGTACTTCTCACTGCGGGGTCCTCCCTCCTCCTTGGTTCAGGGTGATGAACAAACAGGGTTGGAACAGCATCAGCCCTGAGTCTCACCTTGCCTTGCCTAGTCTTAGTAAACTGTCTCTCCTCAAAATGTGCCTGTAGAGTGGTGTATTAGTTTATTTCCTGCCACATTTAACTGTTTAATTGCAGCCTTGTGCAGTTGAGATCAGAACATGTAGAGCCTTGATAGAAAACATTGGAGAGTGCACGTTAAACTCACTGCACACAGCTTTTTGTTAGTGTGATCTCTGGTCATGGTGAGGTTGCTCCTGCTGACTTGAGCCAAACATTTTCTTCTCTCTGCGTCTTTGGGGAAGCCATAGTTCTGATTCCTCCCTCAGACCGATTGCTATATGCAGCGCAGCCAACCATGGTAAGATAATCAACCTATAAAGGGATTATTAAAATACTATTTTTGTGCATATAGAAATATTGAACTAAACCAAAAATGGAGATGTAAACTTACATTTTAAAATTTTATCCAACCCTAAAATTAGTAATTTCTAATTTTAACCCAATGACAACATTTATTTTATTTATTTATTTTAATAAATCAAAATAAATTTATTCAAAAGAGTTTCATTAGGTCTTGAGTACATTGCTCATAATTAATGATTCAGCTTAATTGTGCATATGTAATGACTAAACATAATGTTGGTAAAATGCTTTATTAAAATTGCTATTATACATGTTGTACAAGTTTGTATTCATTTTTTCACAAATAACACACTTTTTTTATCGACTATGTTTGACCATACAGTTTTATTGAAAATTTCTTTTTAAGTAGTTGCTATGGAAGCCAGATAAACTGGGTTATAGATGCATGTACTGTCTTCACATAAAAATATAAAGTAATGATTGTAAAATGTATTCTACTGAACATAACAGATCATCATTCAAAGCATAAACAGATACATATTTTCTTCAAGGTGAGCTGGAGCAGAATTCTAGCTTCCAATAAACCACTTTAAAATGGATATTACAGCTCGAGTTTAGGGCTTCTTGTAGGACTTAAAGTTATTAAATGCTTATATTAGAGCAGTGTGTTGCATTACTACATCAAATTTAGTGCTATAATATATTATAGTAATGTATGTGGTCTAAATGTACTCTACAATGTGTTAGAATGTGAAGGAATTAGGACATAATATATAATATTATTCAAAAATGACCAAAATAGCCAGGGGAAATGTGACGATATTCAATTTTTGTGATTTGTCCCACCATACACCGTTCAAACTGACATACGGCGCTGGGATATTCGGAACTATTGAGAGCTCCATGAACCACGTGACCGCGAGTCGGCAAGTTCAAAGCGTGTCGCAACTCTCTTTTTCTACAGCTCTGAGAAAAACCAGAGCTAACTATCCTGCCTAACCTATAGTGTAACCCCCCCCCCCCCCCCCCCCCCCCCCCCTCCTCCCTGCTTCATCCTGCCCGCTGCTACTCTCTCCCTCCGGTTCGCCACTCGCTGCTGTTCTGGTGAGGTAAAGTGTGTGTGGGGAGATTACAGCGTGAAAAGCACTGGAGTTGCAAAAGTCCAAGAAAAATCGCTGCACAAGTGGTACTCGAAAACTTTTGACAAGGTTGGCAGGTCTGAAACTATAAAATAATAATCTCCTGAAAAGCTCCATTAAAATGACCAGAGAACATTAAAGATTGACAAAAACAGTGATTTGATTTACATCGTGATGCAAATATCGATATTAACGTGATGAAAATTAAAATCACGAAAGGGATTTTCCACATCGCCCAGTCCTACATGTGATGATAAAAATGTCCACTAGTGTTTGATAAGACCTAACAGAAACTAAAGGTTCCTCCTTAACAAATCAGCTTCTAAACAGAAAATACTTTTTTCACCCAGACAAAGGCATCAGAAAGCAGAGCAACACACACACACACACACACACACACACACACACACCTCACTGAGGCCTAAATCACACACAGATCCAGGAGGTCTGATCTAGTAGCATGAATATTCAGCGAGCCGCTCCTTCTTCTAATTATTGTCATGAATATTAATCAGAACTTGGCTCCGCTCAGCCGGCGCCGGGAAATGGGCCTTGATGAGAGAGAGGGGGGTAAGCAGCAGCTTCGTTTTATTTAAACCACAATGCTACAGGACAACTTTTGGACCCCCCCCCCCCCCCCCCCCTTCAGTCCTCTGGGGCTGGGTCACATGTCTATACTAAGGAGGCGGGGCTAACAAGCTGCAGCTCTGTATCCTCCCCCTGCGTCAAATGTTCCTCTGGTGTTTGTGGATGTTTGCATGAGTTTCGCTTAAATATCCTGTTTGATGGTTTCGATAAGTCAGCCTGTAGGGGGTGGTGTTATACAACCCTGTTGCCCCCAGTGCTGACCTCTGCCTTCCACCTGCCCTTCCCAGGTTTAGTGTCTAGCAGTTCATTGGTGACCCAGATGGCGAGTGGCGTCAGCCTGGTTTCATTTAACAGTCACGGTCTTGACGGGATTCACCAGCGCTCCTACTCCGTCTCCAGCGCTGATCAGTGGACCGACGCCACCGTCATCGCCAACTCTGGAGTCGGCACAGGTTGGTTAAAAGCTCATCCTGATGAAGTCCTTAGATCCACACATGCAGCTCCATCGTCACGCCCTCTGAGCCCCACCATGGAGCTGTGTGTGTGTGTGTGTGTGTGTGTGTGTGCGTGTGTGCGTGCGTGCGTGCGTGCGCAGTAAAGCCTGCATATGCGTGTGTCTTGAAGTGGCAGCATCAAACCTGACAATGAAACGCACACACTGACGATGACGTTTTTCCGTGACAATGAGCTTCAAAGGAAGCCCAAACAAAGATTCGACTGAAGCCATGAAAACCTCCAGAACGTACTGGGACCAGTTTAAGCAGAGCCCTACTGGTTTGTTGAAGGAGGGTCTGACAAGACCTAGTCCATTAATCCCAGTGCTCGGTGGGGCGATGGCATCTCGTCAGCCGAGCTAAGTTGTCACATTTTCCACTTGAGCTGAGACTAAACGATTGTAAAATAAGTTATGGCCATCCTTGGGGCAGTTTGCCGTTTGGGGACAAGGCGGTGCCTGCTGAGCTTCTCTTCATAGCTCTGTGTGTGTGTGTGTGTGTGTGTGTGTGTGTGTGTCTCTCCTTCCGTGCATGTCGAGCTGATGTCAGAGCGCTGCTGTGCCGTGATATTGATGGAAGCTGAATGTTATTTTATTCTGCCGCTAGTCACAGCTGTCAGCAGCCAGCTGAGGAGTGGAGGTCGGAGAAACTCCACACCCTCCTCCGACGGTCGCGCTCGCTTACTGCTCTAGGTGTCTTCAGAGCCCGGTGTTCAGGTTCTACAGCATTTGATTATCAGGATTAGATTCTGCTAATAACTTTTATGTCACTGTGTTTTATTATCTGTTAAGTCCGTTATCCGACAGCAACTCTCCAAAAACAGTCAAACGACTCAGAAACCAGTGCAAATCCCCTCCTAAATTAGTCAGCAAGCAGTGCACAACCAGTCATTCTCATTAACAATTAATGGTAACATTAAGAAGCCACAGTGATGCAGGTGGAATGTCTACCTAACAGTAGTCTGGTCCTAAATCTGAAGCTATAAAAGCCCTAGCATGGCCAGCCAGCTCCATGCGTCCTTATGGGAAGCATTGGGTCTGGGAGCTCTTCTATTCAAATAACCCCACCCCCTGAGAATTCTAACCAAGCCAATCAGCACTGAGCAGCGTACATCGCACACCGCAACGCTTAGTTTCTCATAAACAACGAAGACGGCGTCTGAAACGGAGTTCGCTGCATCTCCACAAGAAGAAGAAGCGCTAAAAGCCTTTCTTCTAAAGAAAGATGCTTGAGCCGTTGCCACACGCCATTTTTGACTACAGCATTGTAAACTACAGTCGGCATTTCCGCCTTTTTTCTGATTGGTTATTTTTGAGCTGGCTAGTCCCGCCTCTCACGTGCCTCTCTGCCGGCGAGTAACCAGACTTGTTCTCTGTGCAGAATTAAACAGAGGACGAGTCTGGCAGGCCAGGCTATAAAAGCCCAGTGATCTCTTCACATGGACATTAGTTATCCCAACCCATGAGAACTGTTTCCTGTGGTGCAAGATGTTTTCGCCCAGAGCCAGTCGGGTGTTAGAATAAAGTCCCAGATGTTGTGAGCTCATTTGCTGTTGTGATGGTCACTGTCTTTGACCATCAGTGGTTAGAAAACTGCTGTTCTCAAACCCCTGTCTGGACTTAAGTGTGAAACTATTTTGTCCATCCCAGATAAAATCCTAGGAAAAGCTGCTTTTATAATTCATAAACAAGTAGACCATTTATGTCACACCTTAGTAAATACAGTTCACCCAGAAAGTATCACAGAGCTAGTCTGGCAAGCCATCCTCTGTATACAGTGCTGTCTGAAATTATTCATACCCCTGGCAAATTTTGACTTGGTTATAGGGATGTAAGAAAAGATCGGTATGGCAATATGTGGTGATATTTTTCCAGCGATATTGTGTAGATATTTGACTGTGTGTCGAAAATATCGATATCGCAATACATTGTGATATTTATTTTTCCATCAATATTATATTGATATTCACAATCAAAATTTTGGAAGAATTTACATGCAAACATTTGTGTTTTTAATTTTTTTTTTTTTTGTGCAATTCAAATGCCCATCGTCAGTTGGCAGCTGTGTGCAGTGGGTTTTGTTTCCACCCTTGAAATATAAATCCCTCTGTTATGGTTCAAATACCTCATGTTAACATGTTGTGTATCAGTTTGGACTGTTTACTGAATTTTCCTACAATAAATTCAGTCTAAAAAAATCACTAATAATGTCTGACTGAATGTACTGGAATATATCGTGATATATTGTATCGTCTCCCCGTATCGTGATATGTATCGTATCGCCGAAATTTCACCAACACACATCCCTACTTAGTTACTTTTATTCAACCAGCAATTTGTTTGACGGGAAATGACATAGGTGTCTCCCAAAAGATAATAAGATGATGTACAAGAGGCATTGTTGTGCCTAAAACGTTTCTCAGCTTTTATTTAAATTTGAGCAAAAGGTGTCATGTCCAGGATTATTCAAACCCTTCAAAAAGTCTCTGGGAAAATTCAAAGTTCTAAACAATTCCAAATAGTCCAAGCTGTTCTAAAGCGTCTCAATTACCCAGATTAATTGAGAACATCTGTTTAAATCAACAACAGGTGAAAACCGTAGATTTGACACTTTTCCTCAAATGTAATTAAAGCAGAGAAATGGTTTTTGGCACAGTAGTGCCTCTTGTTCATCGTCTTATTATCTGCTGGGAGACATCTATTCAATTTCCCGTCAAACAATAACTTGCTGATTGAATAAATGTAACTTTAAGTCAAAATTTGCCAAGGGGAATGCATAATTATGGGCAGCACTATAGATTGTCTGGCCACGACCCATAGACAGAGCTCAGTCATGGGGCAGAATCTATGGCTGTCTATTAAACTGTCTCCACATGCAATTGGACAGCAAACAACATGACGTACTTCCTGCTACGGACGTCAGTCAACGATGTAGTCCACCATACACAGTTGAAGAAGACGCAAATACATCATTTTTCAAAATGAAGGACCTAATTACTTCTATCTGCTCTTGACTAAAAAAAGTCCAAGTCTAAATTGTCCAAAGGTTATGCCAACTTAAACGAACTGTCACTAACTTAGTCGCCATCTCATTCCTCTCCGTCACATCGTCCCGCCCACCAGACCAAGAGAGCGCTGTGACTGACGAGCAACTAGATCAGGGGTGTCAAACTCATTTTAGCTCAGGGGCCACATTGAGGGAAATCTAGTCCCAAGTGGGCCGGACCGGTAAATAAAATAAAAAACTTCAGATTGTTTTCTTTGTTTTAATACAATCAATATAAAACGAGGCTGGAGCCTGAGGACAGTGTAGTACAAGTACAACACCTGAAGTGTACTTGAAAATTTGAAAAAAATAAAATAAAATCAACAAATTAAAAAAAACATTCCTTAGTGATTCAAAGAGCTTACAGATCACATGGCTAGATCAGTTCCATGCAGCACTTAAAGTAAATTTGACTCATTTTACTTTACATCTTTTAGCTTTCACCAGCACATCAATATCAGAAGTCACATCCTGAGTGGCGGCCAACTTCAGGATGGGATTCAAGTTCTTGTGTGAGCCTTGAGCGCAGCTTTGTTTTATTTATACTCGTTACAGAGAAAACCTGCTCACAAAGATAGTTTATTTTCACTCTACATTGTAAAGTATGAAAATAAAGTTTACACAACCATCTCGCGGGCCGGATTTAACCCGCTTGCGGGCCGGATCCGGCCCGCGGGCCGCATATTTGACACCCCTGAACTAGACTGTTCGGGCCTACTGAGGCTCCTATGTAGTGTGGCTGGACCAAACTGTTGAGCAGAATCATTTAGCTCTTGCTACGGTCTGTGTAGATTTCTAGGCTATGACAGAGCATCACTTTTCCCACATTTTATGTTACAACCTTTTTCTAAAATGGGTTACTTAATCACCCTCTGGGATTATTAGTGTTTTTTTATTGATTTAATTCATTTTTCCTCAACATTCTACACAAAATAATGACAATGGGAAATTGTTTGTTTTCTTTTCTTTGAGAATTTTGCACATTTAAAAAAAATAAACTGAGACCGCCTGTACATCAGTACTCACAGCTTTTGCTCAATACTTTGTTGATGCACCTTTGGCAGCAGTTATGTCCTCAAGTCTTTTTGAATATGATGTCACAAGCATGACACACCTGTCTTTGGACAGTTTGGCTTGTTTTTCTTTGCAGCTTCTCTCAAGCTCCATCAGGTTGGAAGGGAAACATTAGTGCAGATATTTTAAGACCTGTCTAGAGATGTTCAAGCAGATTTAAGTCTGGGCATCTCCCTGACTAAGGTCCTTCTTCCCCATTCACTCAGTTTAGATGGCCATCCAGGTCAAGGAAGAGTTCTGGTGCTTTAGAACTTCTTCTAATCACAAGATGATGACACAATTCCTTTGATGCATGCTTGGTTTGTGTTTTGATGTGCAGTCACCTGTTGGACCTTATATAGACAGGTGCTTTTCCAGGTCATGTCCAATCAACTAAACGTAATTTCAGCTGCAGAAACATCTCAAAGATGATCGGTGGAAACAGGAATTAAATAAATTAGCAAAAATCTAAAAAAGTTTTTCACTTTGTCTTTATGGGGTTTTTGTGTGTAATTATGAAGGAGAAAGTTGAATCCATTTTGAATGCTGTAACAAAATGTGTAAAAAAGCGATGCCCTGTGATCGTCTTCCAGATGAGTTGTAACACACGACTGGTTTTATGTTCTACTGTTCAACTCAAAGGGAGAGGTTTCTGGTTCCTTTTGGGGTCCCTCTCTCTATGTCCCCATGTTCATAAAGTCCTCTTATTTCTGCTTCACTCTTTAACCCAGAATATTTATCGTTTGCATTTTCAGACACGGTCCTGGGTGACCCAGTCTGCTCAAGTCCCAGTATCTCCAGCACCACCAATCCAAAGATGGAGCCTCCTCCATCGCCTCATTCCAACCGTAAGAAGCACCGGAGGAAGAAGAGCACCAGTAACTTTAAAGTTGACGGACTCTCTGGTACTGCTGAAGGTAACCCCCCCCCCCCAAACAAACACACACACACACACACACACACATACACACACACACTCACACACACACACACACACACACACACACACACACACACACACACACACACACACACATACACATACACACACACACTCACCTGTGTTTAGTCCACACCTCCTACACAGTCCTGGGTTAGATCCAGACCCAGCATTGTTTATTTTAGAAACATTCAGAACCCCAGCTACAAACCGCCAGTTCTCAAACCCAAACCACAGCCCAAAAGTGGCAGACCTTTCATCCTGATTGGCTGATGTCATCAGAGACACGCCCACCCTGATTAACTCATCAGCCTTGCACTCCCATTGTCTTTTTTTGTGACGACATTCCAGATGGTTGTAGTTCCTCACTCAGGATGGTTGCACAGATGTAGCAGCAGATGTGGAATCACTCCGCTGCCATGGCAACAAACAGCTGACAGGGTGATTGGCTGTCTGAGTGACTGATGGATGCTGTGGAAATTTCTCCTCCTGTTTCCTCACGTGTTCAGTCTTTCCTTAACCTCTCCATCACTCTGCTCCTCCTCTGCCAGCGTTTCGTCTTCTCCTCCTCCACCCATCAGACCGCTCACCCCCCATTAGTCAGTCGGAGAGGCTTAAGTGAAATATTATAAATAATCCAGGGTATTGAAATCTTTTATCAGCTGTGTCACTTTCATTATTCAATAAGCGATTAGTAACAGTCTTCCCAATTTAGCCATTAAGCACAGAGCGAGCTCAGCGGCCGCAGCCCGTCACGCCGGGCGGCCGATGAAGTATCATCATGTCAGAGTGAAGCTTGGGGTAATTCATGAGGGGGGCCCGCCCTCTGAGGCTGAGCTCCCCCAGGTGGAACTACACACACGCACACACACATTCAGGTGAGTTCACCTGCTCACGTCCTGCTGCTGCTGATTATGGACGACTCGCTTCAACAAATGGTTCAAATATTCAGATGAGCAGCGAAGAACTTAGTCCTGGACCCGAAGCTCCTCCAGCTAAGGGTTTACATCTGAGTAGGTCTATACCTGGATCTCTGTGGGTCTAGACCTGGATCTCTGTGGGTCTAGACCTGGATCCCTGTGGGTCTAGACCTGGATCCCTGTGGGTCTAGACCTGGATCCCTGTGGGTCTATACCTGGATCTCTGTGGGTCTAGACCTGAATCCCTGTGGGTGTAGACTTGGATCTCTGTGGGTCTAGACTTGGATCCCTGTGGGTTTAAACCTGGATCTCTGTGGGTCTAGACCTGGATCCCTGTGGGTCTATACCTGGATCTCTGTGGGTCTAGACCTGAATCCCTGTGGGTGTAGACTTGGATCTCTGTGGGTCTAGACCTGGATCCCTGTGGGTTTAAACCTGGATCTCTGTGGGTCTAGACCTGGATCCCTGTGGGTCTATACCTGGATCTCTGTGGGTCTAGACCTGAATCCCTGTGGGTGTAGACTTGGATCTCTGTGGGTCTAGACCTGAATCCCTGTGGGTGTAGACTTGGATCTCTGTGGGTTTAGACAAGGATCCCTGTGGGTTTAAACCTGGATCTCTGTGGGTGTAGACTTGGATCCCTGTGGGTCTATACCTGGATCCCTGTGGGTCTAGACCTGGATCCCTGTGGGTCTAGACCTGGATCTCTGTGGGTGTAGACTTGGATCCCTGTGGGTCTATACCTGGATCCCTGTGGGTCTAGACCTGGATCCCTGTGGGTTTAAACCTGGATCTCTGTGGGTCTAGACCTGGATCCCTGTGGGTCTATACCTGGATCTCTGTGGGTCTAGACCTGAATCCCTGTGGGTTTAAACCTGGATCTCTGTGGGTCTAGACCTGGATCCCTGTGGGTTTAAACCTGGATCTCTGTGGGTCTAGACCTGGATCCCTGTGGGTCTATACCTGGATCTCTGTGGGTCTAGACCTGAATCCCTGTGGGTGTAGACTTGGATCTCTGTGGGTCTAGACCTGAATCCCTGTGGGTGTAGACTTGGATCTCTGTGGGTTTAGACAAGGATCCCTGTGGGTTTAAACCTGGATCTCTGTGGGTGTAGACTTGGATCCCTGTGGGTCTATACCTGGATCCCTGTGGGTCTAGACCTGGATCCCTGTGGGTCTAGACCTGGATCTCTGTGGGTGTAGACTTGGATCCCTGTGGGTCTATACCTGGATCCCTGTGGGTCTAGACCTGGATCCCTGTGGGTCTATACCTGGATCTCTGTGGGTCTAGACCTGAATCCCTGTGGGTCTAGACCTGGATCCCTGTGGGTCTAGACCTGGATCCCTGTGGGTCTATACCTGGATCTCTGTGGGTCTAGACCTGAATCCCTGTGGGTGTAGACTTGGATCTCTGTGGGTCTAGACCTGGATCCCTGTGGGTTTAAACCTGGATCTCTGTGGGTCTAGACCTGGATCCCTGTGGGTCTATACCTGGATCTCTGTGGGTCTAGACCTGGATCCCTGTGGGTTTAGACCTGGATCCCTGTGGGTCTAGACCTGGATCTCTGTGGGTCTAGACCTGGATCCCTGTGGGTTTAGACCTGGATCCCTGTGGGTTTAGACCTGGATTCCTGTGGGTTTAGACCTGGATCCCTGTGGGTCTAGACCTGGATCTCTGTGGGTCTAGACCTGGATCCCTGTGGGTTTAGACCTGGATCCTTGTGGGTTTAGACCTGGATCCTTGTGGGTTTAGACCTGGATCCCTGTGGGTTTTTTTGACCTGGATCCCTGTGGGTTTAGACCTGGATCCCTGTGGGTCTAGACCTGGATCTCTGTGGGTCTAGACCTGGATCCCTGCGGGTCTAGACCTGATTCCTTGTGGGTTTAGACAAGGATCCCTGTGGGTCTGGACTTGGATCCCTGTGGGTTTACAGCTGCATCCCTGTGGTTCTAGACCTTAATCCATCTGGGACTGGACCAGGATCCTTGTGAGTTTAGACCTGGGTCCCTGTAGGTCTAGACCTGGATCCCTGTGGGTCTAGACCTGGGTCCCTGTAGGTCTAGACCTGGATCCCTGTGGGTCTAGACCTGTATCCCTGTAGGTCTAGACCTGGATCCCTGTGGGTTTAGACCTGGATCCCTGTGGGTCTAGACCTGTATCCCTGTAGGTCTAGACCTAGATCCCTGTGGGTTTAGACATGAATTCCTGTGGTTCTAGACGTGAGTCCCTCTGGGACTGGACCAGGGTCCTTGTGGGTTTAGACCAGGATCCCTGAAATACAAGGCCTGGTTCCCTGTGGGTTTAGACGAGGATCCCTGTGGATCTCTCTGGGTCTAGACCAGGATCCCTGTGGTTCTATACCTGGATCCCTGCAGGACTAGACCTGGATCCCTGTAGGTTTAGACCTGGATCCCTCTGGGACTAGACCTGTTTAACTTTTGTTTATCTGCTTTATTTGCACTAATCTGGGTTTAGCTGAGTTCATCAGCCTCTGTCTGTAACCACGTGTGTTTCCTGCACCAGAACCCTGCCTGTACTTTACGTTTTCCAGTGCTGGCTGGTGTTGTGTGCTGGTTCTGGGGATGGTGACACCAAGTTGCCAGCTAGACCTGCAGCAAGCCTCCTCCTCCTGCAGATTTGGGAACAAATCCAGACCTCATCCAGAACCTGGGAACATTTTCCAGGTTATTAATGTTGTAAGATGCCTTGAATAATATGAGGAGTAATGACCTGTGTCTCAAAGCAATCCTGTGTGCGGTGACATTTAAGGCATTTAATTTGTGTTTCCTGTTCCCCCGTCTGCCCGCCTCACTCCTCCCCTCTCACGGCACCGTTTGGGCCCGGCGCTCTCGGTGATCGGCCCGTGTTGGCGGCCCACCCGCCCGCCTGCTGTAAATGTTCGAGGTTTGGTTGGTTCTGTTTGTGCTGCTAAAGGTTGCCGGTGTCAGAGTTCACAAATTGCCTCTGCACACCTCTCTCTACGCGAATGTCAGCAACAGTAGCCGAGAGCGGTGGCAGTAATTACCATTGCATCGCTCAGTGTGTGTGTGTGTGTGTGTGTGTACAGCAACAATGAGGAAACCCATTTAAACACAAAACAAACACAAATATTCTCCTAAGGCCTGAGAGAAAACTCTTTGTGTTTTGGTGCTAACAGCCTTTAAATTCAGGTTTTTATTAATAATTTTTAACTATTTAATCATTTATTATCTTATTTCAAATGTTGAATAGCTTCCTGGTAATTTGATGTCTTATTTAAAAAAATATGGTGTTTGGAATATAATTTTTGTTGTTTTACCAGATGAAACAGAAACATTTTTATCCTTTTTTTGTCTTTTTACCCGTTAAAACTGATTTCTTTATGTTAAAAATAAAAGCTGTTATTCCTGTAGATGATGCTGATGGCCACCAGGGGGCAGCAGAATAACCTGCAGGTGTAACTTCAGATGTGTTTAATTATTATGATGCCAATTTTTCACAACAAGAGTTCTGTTGGTGTCCCAATGTCCTGCTCGTCCTATCTGAGCTCAGATTCTGGTTCCTGGAAGGTGGACCTGGTTCCGCCGCCGCCCGTGTCAGTCTGAGTGTTTGTTCTGCTCAGAACAAAAACAGGAAGTGATGGAGCCTCGGGAATCAAACCACTGGCTGAAAAACTGCAGGAAACTTATTGAAGTGACCTTTAATGTTAAAATCTGATGAGTGCAGCTTTAAATGTCACGTTGTTTCACTCGTTCCTGTCGGATCTGAGTCCAGGTTGCCCCCCCAGCCACACACATACACCACCCCTTGTATTCATTAGCTGCTGCAGCGCCGGGTCAGCGTTTAAATCAGAAACAGCGTTTAATTTGTGGCTCAGATGGACAAGGCCTTTCTGGATTGTTGGTTCCCATAATTGCACCCCCACCCCACCCCCCGAGAACAGAGAATCATGGGAGTTTAATTATGATGGGGCCGTAGGGCCTGCAGGGCTGAGCTGGATCTAGAGAATCGGCTTCAATCCTTTCTCTTGAGTTTATTTTTGTTTTCCAGGAGCTTCCTATTTTAATTTTATTGATTAATTAACATTTTAACGGTTCTAGTCCTACAAGCATCTCACCACCCCTAATGAGTAGTGAGACAAAAGGATTTTTATTTAAAAACATTTATCTTTTTCTCAGCTTTCTTCTCAAATGTTTATATTTTGGTTGTGGTTTCAGACTGGGACTGGGTCCCGGTTCTGTCTGACCCAGATGTGAATTTTCTCTCCTGCAGAACAAGAGGAGAACTTTGAGTTCATCATCGTTTCTCTGACGGGGCAGACGTGGAACTTCGAGGCCACTTCGTACGAGGAGCGGGACGCCTGGGTCCAGGTGATTGAGGGCCAGATCCTGGCCAGCCTGCAGTCGTGTGAGAGCAGCAAGAACAAGGTAGGCCCAGGTTCTACTGATCCTAATGGTTCTGGTACTTTGGATCCTTTTGAAGGTCTAACTGGTAGAAAGCCAGAGTAAAGGTCCAGTCAAGAGAACTGGTTCTGGTACTTTGGATCCTTTTGAAGGTCTAACTGGTAGAAAGCCAGAGTAAAGATCCAGTCAAGAGAACATCCTGAGCTGAAGGTTCTCCTAGGTTTTGCTGTCCTCCAGAACATCTTCAGGCTTGTTTCTGTGTTTTGTTCCAGCCAGTAGACGGGGGTGAGCTGTACAGGTGCAGGTTAAAACTGAAACACTCCTGAGTCACCTGACCCCCCCCCCCCCCCCCCCCCCCCCAATGGACACCCTGAAAATAATGACCCCTGGACTAAAGATGTCCACACTAACATTTTGTCTTCCAGTCTCGGCTGACGAGCCAGTCGGAGGCGTTGGCCCTGCAGTCGGTCCGGAGCATTCGAGGAAACGGTCGCTGTGCCGACTGCGACGCTCTGAGTGAGTTCAGCGACATTTGCTGTAGAAGGTCCTTCACGAAACCGGTTTGGTCCGGTTTCATTCTACAGCCATATAATAACCTGGTTTTCTTCTGGGTTCTCCAGACCCGGACTGGGCCAGTCTTAACCTGGGAGCTCTGATCTGCATCGAGTGCTCGGGGATCCACAGGAACTTGGGTACCCACCTGTCCAGGGTCCGGTCTCTGGACCTGGACGAATGGCCGCTAGAGCTCATCAAGGTGTTGTCAGCCATCGGCAACGAGCTCGCCAACAGCGTGTGGGAGGCCAACGCTCAGGGTCGCCTCAAACCCGGACCGGACGCCAGCAGGTAGGACCACATCCTGGTATCTAGACCGTTTGAGTCTACAGAACATGAGGGACCAGAACTCAGCTGGGACTTTCTCAGGTCCCGATCTCTTGTGGGACAGGCTGAGACCTTGTCCTCGTGTATACAAAGATGGATAAAATAACATTATCTACAGGGATTAGACTGATCCATACCAGGTTTTATACGGGACCATCCGTCAAGTTAGGAAGCTCAAGTTTATCCTGACGTCTGTGTGTGTGTGTGTGTGTGTGTGCGTGCGTGCGTGCGTGTGTGTGCGCGCGTGCGTGCGTGCATGTGCGTGTTTATGTGTATGTTGATGTGTGAATGCGTGCATGTGCGTGTTTGTGTTTGTGTGTGTGTGTGCGCACGCGTGCGTGCGTGCATGTGCGTGTTTATGTGTATGTGTGTTTATGTGTGAATGCGTGCATGTGCGTGTTTATGTGTGTGTGTGTGTGTGTGTGTGTGTGTGTGTGTTTGTGTTTGTATGTGTGTGTGTGTGTGTGTGTGTGTGTGTGTGTGTGTGTGTGTGTGTGTGTGTAATTATGCGGCTCTAGGAGGCCATCATACCAAATTAGAGCCGACTCCCTTTCACATGAAGATCGACTTCCCTGTCCTCCCTCCTGCACTCACCCCCACCTCACTCTCATTAGTGAACAGAAGCACCTTATAATTACTCCCCCCCAACAGCGCACACACATTAACCCTTCATGTTTGGACTCACAACATTTCACCTCTTCACAGAAAATGAGTTTCATGTTTCTATTTATTTTTGAATATTTTAAAGGAAACATTATTTAATGGTTCTGTTTTGTGAGTAATCACGTCGTAGAACCACAGTTACTGTAAATGATCTTATGGTTGTCCATGTTGCTGTTTATCTATGACACACACACACACACACACACACTCACACACACACACACACACACACACACACACACACACACACACACACACACACACACACACACACACACACACACACACACACACACACACACACACACACACACAGAGGAGATTAGAAGAGGTCAATATTATCTCAATTAACCTGCATCACTTCTCTGCAGCTCCTTCTCTTCTCCTCCTCTTTCCTGTCGATAGTATTTACCAGTCCATTCCTTAAGTAGCTCGCTGCTTGTCGTCTCTCTTCCATCAATCGGTGCTTTTGTTGGCCACGCCCCCTCTGATTCTAGTATCATTTGTACTCCTCTGTCCAGTGATTCCAGCATGGTGGTCCAGGAGACAGTTTTCCCACTGAGACACAAGTCCTGAACCCTCTGCTGAGTTACAGTTCTTTAACATTGTGAGCTGTTTCTTGTAGCAGAGCATCAGAGGAGATTATACTTTAATTCTCAATTTAAATGATTATGGTTTCTATATTGACCCTTTGCACTGACGTCACCTAATCAAAAGAAGAAACGAGTTGAGTTTACATCCTTGTCTCTTAGTGCAGCCAACCACGCAGCATGCTAAAACCATTTTACTGTCAAATCAACTAAATAAAACAGGGTATCTGCAGGTCCTTAAAAAGTCTTAAAAAGTCTTAAATTTGCTTTTCCAAATTTAAGGCCCTAAAAATCCTTAAAAATGACAAATAATCCTTAAATAGTTTCCAAAGGTCTTAAATTACCAAAGACCCAATAAACAAGATTCTTTTATTTCTATAAAATTTTCATGAATTTCTAGTTAGTTTGGCATTTCTTGTGTATGATATTGGCGTAAGCGGAACCGTACACATTCGGTTGGGTGTGAAAAGGGGCTATTTTTAGATGAGCATGCTAGTGCGAGTTTGCGCCATGGGGAAGTGCAACATTAATGGTAACTGGGTGGCTAATCCCACGCTCACTACGTGGCTAGCACCGGTTCCAGGTAATAGCTGGAAATTATAGCTTAAATTTAATTTAAAAAAACAGCTTAAATTTGGTCAAAGTGGCCTTAAAAAAGGTCTTAAAAAGTCTTAAATTTGGCTCCCTTAAACCTACAGATACCCTGATAAAAGCGATAAAAGGCTACAAACTGGCTTGTTTTGACTACCTTCACTGGAGTTTCTACGGGTGTAAACGGTCTTTTTGCCGTCTATCATGGCGAAGGGGGCGGTCACATGAGTGGCGTAACGTCACGTGCAAAGGGTCAATGGTCTGGGTCCAGGACTGCTGGCAGGACCTGACATTCCAGCTGTTCCCTTCTGTGTTGGTCAGATGTTAAACTTGCCTTTAAAATTAATTTATCTAGAAACTCAGGAGTTATGAGCTTCCAGCAGTGGTGGCTCGTCTACATGGAGCTCTGAGGCTACATCGTCCCTGACATGAAGTGTGAAAAATATCACAAAGTTACATACTTTAACTCATTAACTGCCAATGATGACTAAAGTTCTCATTTGCATTTTTTTTTTACTGTGTGGGCGTCGGAATGAGCCCCCACACCATGAGAACAAACATCTCAGCTCTAAAGTCGATCGTCATTCGTGTACGTCACGCATCACGTGATCAGGAAGCAGAAAATCCATGTGTCAGGAGATCGTTTTGGGCCGCTGCTGTAATAAAAAGTGAGGCACGGACCGGAAAAGCTTCTGCCGATCACAATTCAACAACGGATTATGAAAGAGTGGATAAAGCTCGAAAGGTGCAGATTCTTCCTGATGTAACGGGTGAGTCTCCTCTTTGTTTTGGTTGTTTCTGTGACTCAAAAAAACTGTGAAACTGCTGAAAAACGCTGGCAGCGAAGGGCTTTTCTGATCAGAAAATGGCTGGCAGTTAATGAG